ATTATCTATTTAGGAAAAGATTCAACCTGGCTAAAAAAGGTCCTTTAACATGTCACTGGTATCTTTATGTATTCCTTCCAGATCATTTCTCATATTTACTTTTGAGAAGCAGGCTTCCATCTCATTATGCTCTGTTGCATAATGTCCTCAGTCTACAAAAGCAGGTTGTATACTAATCCCTAGGGCCATTGTGTAAAGGAAAAGAGGTAGGGTGGACCCTTCTCAACCCTTTCCTTCTCTGCAGGGCTTTGCATTCCTAAGGATGGGCCCCTCCTCTGCTGGGGGATGTTACCTAAATCATGAAATGATGTTACTCAAAGCAATGAAACTTCAAAAGCATTTCCTTTCCAGTACCTGCTATAAGATTTCTTATGGCCTACACTGTTCATTGTAATATATTAATTATCAGACTTTAGACGACTCGTCATTCTTAGTCACAAAGTATGGGACACCAATGATTTTTTCAAATGCTTTTGGTATGCTAAGAACTGCATGTGGCATCAGCAACTTCCTCAGGCCTCCCTCCTCTTTCTCCATCATGCCTGCCTTGCCAACTTGAAATGACAGTTATCTGGATGCTGCCTGGTCACTGACTTATCTGACATTCACTAGTTGAAGTCATTTTGTCACTGCAAAAACCTGCTTTTCTAGTGATAATTGTGTCATCTTTTCCCTACTGTAGTGGGGAAAGTGCAAAGAGGAATCAACAGCAGAGCCACCCTGGAAACAAAAGGGAGAGGAAGACATTAAGTATCAGACTCTGAATAGTAGGAATTGTTACCTTCTAAGGAGTCATTTTACTTTATTCACATTCAGACTGAAACTTTTATCCTTATCAATTCAAAATTGAGATTATAACCCAAGGGGAACTGGATTGAGGTTTTCAACAGGTCAATTACACTGCCCTGAATGGTGGATCGCATTCAATTCTTACATTCCCAAGAAGGGACTATTCACGTGGAGTGGGGCAAGGTAACAGTTGACTTTATATTTCAGACACTTCTAGGCCCTATAGATTTTTCTTATATTAATCATGTCACTAGAATAAAAAAAATCCTTTTCCTATATGATGGAGGCAACACTTCTGTTCTCCCTCTCAGTAAGCTGTGTTTAGGAAGAGTGTCAATTGTGTTCGTTCACAGACCAATTTATGCCAGTTGAGTTTATTGTTGTAAATCTATAACTTAATTTCATATTATGTAGAATAGTGATGTATAAATGGGAAAAATGAGTCGCAGCTAACACTAATCAAGTACTTATTACCTGCCAGGCATTGTTGTTAGTGCTTTATACACCATAACTCATATAATCTTTACAAGAACCCAAAGAAATGGATACTATCATTACTCCTATTTTACAAAGGAAGAAACCAAGCAATTTGCCTAAGGCCTATACAACTAATAAGTAGCGAAGAAATTTGATCTAGAGCTTAATATAACTACTATTCCACAGAGCCTCTCTAGTAGTTGTTTGTATAAAAATCAAACTAACTATTTTGGAAAGACTAGATAAAAGTGAGTCACACAGATACATACAATCTGCTGTTAGGTATGTGGAAAAGTCCAATATAAAGGCTGGGAGGAAATGTCATCAACACCTAGAAAGATTCTGCATTGGGACTGCTTTGCAAATGACTTTATTCACTGCATTTTAAAGAAACCATAGATTAAGACTTCTATGTGATCTCTTAAGGGTCAGACAGTAGACATTTTAAGCATAATGGACAAAATGGTTGCAGTTTCTGCTGCAACCACTTTACACTGCCTTGTAGGATGAAGTAGCCAAAGATGATATGTAAATAAATGAGCATAGCTGTGTTCCAAAAAACCTTATTTACAATAACAGGCAGGGGGCTGGGGTAGGATTCACAAGTGTTGATCTCTAAGACCAACACTTTAGAAAAGGCTGAGCCTTAGTTTAAAAGAAAAGGTTCTAATTTAAAATATAAGCATCCTTTGCAGGATGCTTATATTTTAAATTAGATCAAAATGTGTAAATTATGTATGTAACTAATACTCAGAGGATTCCCACTTTAATTAACTTTGTGTATTTGCCAAAGTTGCCCCCTCAACCTGGAAAGGCTTATTTCCTCACTTTCACTTGGAATCTTACTCATCTTCAAAGCCTATTCCAAACCCTATAATCTCCTCCAAACTAGSTATGAGCTGTTCCTCTTTTGAAATCCTACAATAATTAATTTCTTCTTCTTATGGGACTTTCTTCACTATGTCATCAGTTATGGTTATTTGTGTACTCTACCCTCTATGGACTGTGAACTCTTTGAGGACAAAACAATGATTTACTTACTTTCTTACCCTACACAACACCCAGCACAGTCCTTCACACACAATAGGCTTTCAGATGATATTTCTTGAATTGTATTCTGACATTCTTCTGCTTTAAGTGATGGAAGGAACAGAACACTATACCAATATCAAACTTATTCAATTCAAATCCCTATATCACATCTATAATTTAACTTAGCTCTAACTTCATTAATATTAAAACACATTCACCAGCACAGGTCAATATGTGTATACTTGTATATAAAATTATCTGTTGCAAAATTACTGGTAATTTGAAAGGAATTATTAAAATTGCTGCTTCCCAGTCAATTTTCAGGAGATCAACACATTTTATGAATACACTGAAAAGCTGTATACTTAAGCAAAACAAAATAAACACAAATACTTAATTTAAACTTGAGATCAGGGTTGTGTCTTACTTATCTTTGTGCCCCAGTGACACTCAGTAGACATGTGAAAGGAGATCCATTCCAAAGTGTTTTTGGAGCCTGGCCCAAGCTCAGAGTGAGTTAGAAGAGGTTGGGGCAGAAGCCCAGGTTTCCCGTTTCTTTGTCTAATACTATCAATCTGGAGATACTCTAATTCAGGAAAACCCTTGCTTTTCAGGTACACCCAATCCTGCAGATTTGAGTGTTGGACTGTAGAATACTTGCCACCATCTTTCTATTTCTCTTACTGCCAATGAAAAAAATCAGCACCTGTGTCCCCACAATGGTAATCTGGGTATTCATGTTTGTGGTGACCCAATCACCAAAAAGGTTGATTTTTAGGATTCCCAAATATCAAAAAAGGCTGCTTAAAACATCCTGGAGAAAAACATCTCCATCCAAGAATGCAAGATAAGAGCTCAAGAGAATCAAAGATGAGCTTGGTATCTTTTAAAAGCACTGTTTAAACTGGGCCCTAAGGCATATCCCTATAATCCTAGCTACTTGGGAGGTTGAGGCATAAGAATCCCAAGTTCAAGGCCAGCCTTAGTTTCAAAACAAAAAATGAAAAGGGTTAAAAATATGGCTCAGTAGAAGAGCAACCCTGGTTCAATCCCTGTACCACAGAAAAACAAAACAAAACAAAACAAAACAACACTACTCTAGTGCTGAGTGACATATACTAGGGAGAAGGAGCTAGAAAAGAGCTAAGGTTCATTTCTGCCCCCAGAGGTAGCCAAGCTCATTTATCCAGTTCATTCCCCCCACTCAGAGGTAGACAAGTTCACATTCTATTCAGAGCTACTACAACAGGTTCCAGTTCTAGTGCTTAGATTCCACTTGCATCACTATTTTAACACTGTTAGCCTTCACTGCTTTAACCATCTTAAACTGTAAAATAAACATAAGAAACAAGGAACAGCCTTATCCTCAGTTAAATAGAGAAATAATTTACTTACAAAAATCATAGTTACATATAATATTTCTAGCTATCCTATTCCCCCCCTTTCCCTCCCCTAGAGTTTCAGATAATATAGTACAATCACCTTCAATTAACAAAAGAGAGTAAGCAACCCAGATAGTTCACAGCCAATACAGCATTTTTATCTCTCTGGAAGCTACCTATACAAGGCAAGAGTCATGGCTGGATTCTATGGGTCACACGGGAAAAGCAATCTAAGTAAATTAAGAAATACAGGAACAAGGATAAATTTCATTATTCAAACCAATAAAGAATTAATGAGAACTCATTATGGGCAAGAAGGCTTTCAATTTAGTAATATGCAAACTATAATAAGAAGCACAACCAGGGAAGTGCCAAAAGGAACGAAGTTCTCTCAGAGTAAGCTACCAATCACTTCACTTTAATATAATGCTAAGAGATTAAAACATTCAGGTAAGGGACCAACCCGACTGAGGGGGAAGACTGAGTAACTCCAGTGAGACCTGTGGAAATGGATACTACACTGGGATACTATCTGCTTATCCACAGCTTGGTTAAGCCAGAGCTACACCAAGATTGTTCCAAGTAATTATACCAGGTTAACCAAAGAAATATTCATGTAAGACACAGAGGGTGGAAACTGGAGGCAGAAAAGTTGGCATAAACTGATGTTGATTTAGGATTGTTGCAAGAAGACTCAGCAAAACCAGGGACTTTAATGTCCCCAGAGTTTTCTCCTTTTCGCCACCCACTCCTAGAATATCCTAGTTTTTCTGCACCTTACTTGCGGGTACTCTGGAAAGGGGTATCCCTCCTTCCCTGCTCCCTGGCATATGCCACACAGTCCAGTGATGACCACTTTATATGGGCACACAGTGTTCAAGGACTATTAGGTTCTTGTTCACTCATTAGCTCTCTGAATCCTGAATGGAAGGATCAGGAATCCAGTCCCAGCCTGCCCTTTACTCTGCGTGACCTCGGACTAGTCACCCAAGTTCATTGTTTCCTTAATTGCAAATTCTGGGATTATGAGGGGACCTGAATTGGACTCAATGACCTTTGAGGTTTAAAAGCTTCTTGACAAGTTGGTATACAGGGAACTGGACACACTGCCCATTGCATAGAGGGGAAACTGAGGCACCGAGCACCCTGCCTAAGGTCACTCCAGCTATGTCACTGTAGGAGCCAGGCCAAGACTCAGATCTCTAGTCTGGGGATCTTTCTCCTTCCGCCGAGCAGAGAAGAGCGGCGGAGGGTCCTTGCCCCGGAGGGAGAAGGACAGTGGCCATGCCAGGGTTGTGAGAAGCAGCGGGGAGGCCTTACCTTGCCAGGTCGAGTCCCGCCACAGGAGCCTCGCTCTCAGAGCCTGAGCTCGTCACCGACTCAGGACTTCTCAGAAGCCYCTACTACTTCTGCCCGGCTCGACGTGTCCACCACTGCCACAGAGGCCGCGGGTTCCCGCCCCTGCCCCGCCCCTAGGCTCGCTGACCAATCCTCGCGCAGAACTTCGGAATCCCGCCCCCTCTGCGGGCAGGAGAGGCCTCACGTCGTGCCGGCGAGAAGMCCTCATTTGCCTTTGCTCCACCTTCTCCAGAATCCAGTCTCCTCGCGGCAGAGCAACCGGGCGASTTTGCCCTGCCGGAAAAAAGCGCGCCACCGCGGCATTTTACGACGTCGGCGGTGACAGGCCCTGGGAACATCCGGCTTTCTCCCCACCGCCTGGAGAAGGCGAGCGCGATGTTCGGTGCCGGGGATGAGGACGACACCGACTTCCTCTCGCCTAGTGGCGGGTGAGTGACTGAGAAGCACGGGCCATAAGGCATGGCTGACAGAGACCGGCGGATGGTTGGAGGGGTCGATCTCTTCTCAGGCCTCTGTCCAACTTCCGGGTCCAGACCCCGGCCGCATTCCGGTGCTTACACTCTTCAGAATCTTGGGCAGGGCTCGCAACTGCGAGGAGTCTGTGGATCTGGGTTCTGGAGCCGGCATCTCCCTTGACACGCAGTATGACTCTGGGGTTCCCCTTCTGTTCCCTGGGTCACAATTTCTCTGAAGTGGGGTGATTGCTGATGAGTCTGCCTGCCTCCGAGTTTTTAGAGGAGTCAGCTGGGGCCACACGAGAGTTTCTCTTCTAGAACCMTGGATGAGGCGGTGACACTTTAGAACCAGGACTGGTGGGTCGGCCCCAGCATTCTTCAAGGCCTAGATCGGATGTCACCTTTTTGGTACTTTCCCTCTCCCATCACCCCGGGCAGAATGAAATACTTTCTCTTTCTCGTTCGTCCGACCAGGCTTGTCTTTGCATGCGAACCTAGTAGATTATAACCCTGGTAGGACAGGGACAGCTTATATTGTTCGTTTTAAAACGGGACCTTGCACATAGTAAATGATCAGTGAGTGTCTTTTGAATAATAGCTGTGAAATTGCACTCTGTAAACCGTGAAATTTAAAACCATTGTGAGAGCCTGCGGTCGTTAACCCCTGTCCTCAAACATTATGTATACCATCGTTTTCAATAATTAGTTTAGGGTTTTCAGGGTTTGTATTGGGTTAGTGTGTTTTCTCTTGTGTTGTATTAACACCTTGACTSCCAGTCTCTGATGTTTGCATAGCCTTTCTTTGACCATCTTCATTACAAATATTGTGCATCCTGAAGAATGATGAGCACATCAACATATGCCCCTTGTTCTACTAAATGCCAAGAGGTTACAGAGATGATTAAGCTGCTGTACTGATCCTCAAGTTTGCTGTTGCAGAGTTTAACACATAAATAACCATAAGATGACTGACTATCTTTTGGACTCTTTGTGGACACCCACTGACTAGTAATGTATTACCTATCGTTCTTTTTTATATATACCTTTATTTTATTTAGTTATTCTTATGTGGTGCTGAGGTTTGAACCCAGGGCTTCACACATGCTAGGTAAGCACTCTACTGCTGAACCACAGCCCCAGCCCCTCTCTTTTTTTTTTGACTCACTACTTTGTTTTACCCCTGCTGTCATTTTAGATGGCCTGCATCCACATAATTCCATTTTGAGTAATTTCAGATGCTCAGTTACTTTAAATTGTGCTTTGGTTCCTCTCTTCCCTATCTGACTCAGAACATTCACTAAAATCACCATGCAGTCCAGTTTCCCTGCTGCTGTTGGTTGTGTAGTTAGCCTTTGCAAACCTAGTTTGTGTGTGGCTGCATATTAGACATTTTCAAAGCATACTTTAAATTCACATTCTCCACTATGCAAAAGTATCTGGAAAAGTCTGCAAAGGAATGTTTATACTCCCAGCTCTCATGAGTCAAGCAGTCCACTGCTGATTGAAAATTACAAGAGTAGACATGATGGTCATGTGCCCTTTTCTGGATTCCTGGCCCAAGATAAGTTCTTGGTGATTCGACTATTCTGCTTTCCTGTATGGGCTTATCAAGAACCTGAGACACTCAATTCTAGGCACATGATTGTGCTACTAGACACATATATCAGCTAATTTAATGATAAGAAACTTATTCAGAAAGTTAATCTGATAATTTATTTTTGTTCCCAGCAACAACCAGGAAAATAAAATAAAATTTAAGATTGAGAATAGGGCTGGGCATGGTGGCACACACCTACCAGTGACTTGGGAGGTTGAGGCAGGAGGATCACAAGTTCTAGACTAACTTAGCAAGACCCTAAGTAACTTAGCAAGACTGTCTTAAAATAAAAGTTAAAAAGKCTGGGAATGTAGCTCTATCATAGAGTACCTCTGGGTTCCTTCCCCAGTATCAAAAAGAAGAGAAAAATTTTGAGACTAGGGAAAGGTTCATCAGCATTCTCTGATTTAGCTATTCCTCCTTTAGTTTCTCTAAGGAAGTAGAACATATGACAATGAACACTGCTTTTCAGTTCCCTTTTTATAACTGATTTACTGCAAATATACTTGTTCCTTTAAGTTTCAGGTCTATTTACTTAACTCTCTGACTTGATCCTACTTAGGACATTCAAACYTATTAGAAGTAGGAATATTAGTGCCAAGGATGACCATCTAGATGACTGATAATCTCTTTTTTAAGTTTCTGGGCCTCTTAAAGTACATGGTTAAGCTAGAAAGAGTAATCAGGAGGTTTTTTTTTTTTTTTTGTCTTAGCCCTTTCTCCACCACTATGACTTTGAAAATAAGGAAGTATTTGTGATTGCCTATTAAWTGAATAATAGTTGGTTCAGCTAATATAATTGGGAATATGATGCAGTTCCTACCCCTAAGAAATTTCATTTTAGTAATAGAGTAAAATCAAYGTAGTAATAATAATCACAAAGCTGTTTTTGTTTTGTTTTTGAGATAGGGTCTCACTATGTTGCCCCAGCTGAAACCTCTGGGCTCAAGTGATCCTCCTGTCTCAGCCTCCCGAGTAGCTGGAATTATAGGCATGAGCCACCATACCTGGCTTTTTTCAAAGCATCTTTAAGGGACCAGTTACGAATACATTTGTTTTATATTTTATTAGAGGTATGTGTAGGCAAATCTGACTAGCATTAGTAATGATAAATCATTCCTTTTAGGAATGTGACTTAAGTCAAGTCACCATTCTTGTCCCTGCATACCCTAATTTATTAAATAATGAGGTTTGCCTCAGATGATCCTTTGAGATTTTTCCTAGTTCTATTGTTTTGTATTTATGTTAATGTCAGTTTTTACTTAAGAGATTTGTACATCAATCAAGCCTTCTCTCTTCTGTATGATAATATCTGATTGAATTGGCATTTTTGAGGTAGAAGGATATGTTCACAAGTATATAAAACATTGTGTGTTTATTTAGTGCCAGGTACTGTACCAAGGAATACATAAACACACATTGTCATATTTAGTCATTATTTCCTATGAGGTAGTTTTAACAGTTATACCCATTTTACAGATGGGAACAGCTCAGAAAGGTAAGTTGCCTAAGGTGGCACTGTTATTAATGGAGCCTGGCTTGAAATCAGGCAGGTGTATTTCACCAGATCTGCCCATGTGACATTATCGTTATTGTATAAGTAGATGTTTGATGTCACAATTCATGAAAGAAGTACTTTACTAACAAAAAGAATCCCTGTTTATTAAAATATTGATATAGCATAAATGATGTATTTTTGTTTTAAAGAGAATAGCAAACAAATATGAAACTAAGGTGAGGTAAGGACCTTGGCAACTAAAGCACTGGCTGACTTTTATTTTTAAAATATTAACGCCATAATGACTTTTTTATCAATTATTAACATAGATAATCAAGTCTAGAATTAGCAAGCTCATTCTTTCTAACATGGTCAGGTAGATTGTGTACACTTGAGAATATCTTACAAGTAGAAAAATATAGTGAGTCTCAGAAACTATCTTCCTAAGAATGTATATAGTCCATTTTTAAAATAGTAATAGTAAATGGAATTAATCTGTAAGCTAATTAGTTTGACTTGGCCTTTATATTGATTTTACAATCATCATTTGACTGGCTTTTAAGATATTTATGGAAACACAGTTTACCTATGACACATCTGTCTTGCCTTTGAAAAAGAAGATACTTGCAAAATTAAAATAGCAAACCTAATACCCATATTTTGCTGAAGCTAACAAGGGCATTCTTTTTCTTATTAATGTGCATATGCAATTATATCTTAACTAGATTCTAAGCTTGGTAAACTTTTTACTATATTAAAGGTGTTTCTCAACTCTCCCAGAATCTTCTTCTAGGAAATCTGCCCTAGATTGTCCTGGCTAAATGGAGATAATCTTGGTTTCTTTTAAATTTCACGAGCATTTGTTGATATTGTATTCAGGCTAGCACTGCTCTTCCCCAATTACATTGCAATCTTTAACCTCTTAGTCTTTATTGTAAGAATTTTTTACTTCATTTACAGGAAACTTACAGTAGATTCTTCAACAAAACAAGATTATAGTTTTAAGTCATATTGAATTTATTTTGCAAATGGTTTGGGCTATGTATACATATAAATTGTAAAACACAACAAAACAAAAAAGCCAGGCATGATGGTACATACCTGTAACCCCAGTTTGTTCCTCAGGAGGTGAAGGCAGGAGGATCACAAAGAAGTCTAGTTTATTGTGTGTTGTTAGATCAGACAGACTAATTTATAAAGAATAGAAATTAGTTTCTCACAGTTCTGGGGACTGGGAAGTCCCCCAATATCAAGGTGCCAGCATCTGTCTAGAGCCTTCTTGCTGTAAACCTACAGCCTCAAGCTCTTTTTATAATTCAGTGTAAATCAGTTCAAGAGGGTGGAGCACATGCTTTTTGAGGGACACATTTCAAATAACATATAATAATAACATATAACAAATATATATATTAAGAATATATACCAGACCCTGGGCAAAATATGGTGTCAAGTGGAAATTATAATAAATAATCAATTACCATGTCATATGAGAAATGATTGAATAACTTTTATTAATCCCTGTGGAGTACAATGCCATACAACAGCTGCCCCTGTTATGTATCTCATAATTTGCAATCATATATCATATAATGTCTCATTTACTAATTAGACCATAAACTCCTTGAAAATAGAATCCAGTTTTCAATGAAGATTATATAAAATAGAAAGGTGAGTGGTAAAAAAAAATCAAATCCAGTTTTGCTCACCGATGTATTCCTAGCACTTGGCATGATGTCTGACATACATTTCTTTTTCTTCCTTCCTTCCTTCCTTCCTTCCTTCCTTCCTTCCTTCCTTCCTTCTTTCTTTCTTTCGTTCTTTCGTTCTTTCGTTCTTTCGTTCTTTCTTTCTTTCTTTCCTGGGGATTGAAGCCAGGGATGCTTTACTTTTTTTTTTTGAGGCAAAGTCTTGCTAAGTTGCGTACAGCCTCACTAAGTTGCTGAGGCTGGCCTTGAACTTGCAATCCTTATGCCTCAGCCTCCTGAGTTGTTAGGGTTACAAATGTGTATCACCATTCATATTCTCTCTCTCTCTCTCTCTCTCTCTCTTAGTCTTTCTTTCTCTCTCCCTCCCTTCCTCCTGTCTCCCTCTCTTTGTGGTGCAGATGTTCTATTGCTGAACTACATCCCCAGCCTGATATGTATTTCTGGCATGAATGAAGTATAGAGAATTATGGGAGCTTCCAGGAGGATCATCTAACCTAGAATTGGGGCATCTTCCAGGGGGAAAGAGGAAGAGGAAGAAAGTTAGGTAGAGAGATCACCATGTCCAAAGGCTGGAGATTAAAAAGATCTTGCCTTGGGGGTTTGGCTTAGTGGTACAATGCTTACCTAGCATTTGTGAGGTTCTGGGTGTGATCCCAGTACCACTCAAAATATATTTTGTTTCATATTGAGAAACTAAAAGTTTCTTGGGGTAGGTATAGCACACAGGTGGAGATAAGAAATGATCAGGTGGGAAGCTGAGAAATAAGGAGAGGTGAGGCCTTAATGGCCTTGTAAAACTGTCTTGTGGAGTTTGGGTTTTATCTTGGTAATATTGAGGTGTCATTGAGGGTTTTCAGGAGGAAGGAGACTTGGTCAAATTTGGTTTTTAGAAAGATCATTGTGGGTGCAGTGGTGATAATGGATAAGAAGCAGATAAAACCAAGGCAGAGAGGTGACTCAGGAAGTGTTGCAGAAAATGAAGCTAGCTACCTGTGATGTTGGCCTGAATAGAAAAGTGGCAGTGAGGATGGGGAACAGTGAATGGCTTTAAGAAGCATTTGGGAAATAAAATTAAATGGAGTTGGAGATTGGGCATGACCATGACCATTGGGCAGAAAAAAATCAAAGATTATGTTCAGGTTTTCATTTTGGTTGGGGATGTTTACAGAAAAGAGTTAACATACCAGGCCAGAGACTATAATACTTAGAATGTCCTGCCTACAGAGTTGGTACTTGTCTGGTATCTGGGAATTTACTGGTAACAATTCCTCACACTGATATGAAGTGTTAATAAAGTGGTAAGAGTGTCTYACTGTGCCTAAACTTTTGTACAAATAATATGATTTATACTGAACATCTGCTTTTCTTTTGTGAATCTGGAGTTTTGGTACATTCTAGGCAGAGGTTGTCTGTATGATTTGACCCCAATAAAAATCTTGGGCATTGAATCTTTAATAAGCTTCCTTTATAGATCATCCTTTACACCGTTGTTGTAACTCATTGCTGGAGTTAAGTCTTCACTTACCAAGGGAAGACTTTTAGAAGCTTGTGCTAGATTTCCTCTGGACTTCGACACCTGTACCTTTTACCTTTTCTGATTTCTCTGTTTTTTTTTTTTTTTTTTTTTTTGGTGCTGAGGATCAGGGGTACTTTGCCACTGAACTAAGTCCCCAGCTCTATTTATTTTTTGAGACAGGCTCTCACTAAGTTGTTTAGGGCCTTGCTAAGTGGCTGAGGCTGGCTTCACATTTGTGATCCTTCTATCTCAACCTCCAGAGTCATTGGGATTACAGGCATGTGCTACCATGCCTGGCCACCGTGTATCCTTTCAATGTATAGATATTAGTCATGAGTTGAGCTATATGCCAAGTCAAGTGAGTCCTAGTGAATCATTGAACCCACAATGGTCTTGGGGCGCAAGAGGAAGAATAGGTTTTTGGGGGCAATGGAGATGGGAGGACATGAGCTCTGGGCTGAACGTGTGTCTGGGTTGCCTGTGGTATATCTGTGTTTTCCAAAACACAAGAGCAAATTCTGGACTGGGGATATAGATTTGAGCTTATCAGCATTAGGATAGTCTTTGATACCAAGGTAAATAAAAGAGATTGCCAAGGGAGAGAGTTTAAAACCTTGGGGACATGGACATTTAAAGAACAGACAAAGGAAAGGAGGCAAGAAAGTTAAATGAGAGTCAGAGCTATGGGAAGAAAACGAGAGGGATCCCATTAGCATTTATTGATGTCTTATTAGGACCTGTCYTTCCTTCCATTCTTGTAGGTATCTCCAAAGAAGTGATGGGAAGAGATTGTTTGTAGAACAAATTAGTGGACTGTATAAAAAGGTAGCATGAGGTCAAATAGATAAGCACTGATAAACTGCATTTGATAATAGAGGCTGTCAGTGAGTGACCTTAGTAAGACCTGTTTCAGTAGAAATTGGAGACATAAGATACCTGAAAGAGATGAACAAAGAATGGTCCTCCATGCTAGATGGAATGATAGGAGAGATTATGTCTGCTRGTGAGTTTGTATTACAGTTTCATTACATCTTAATCAACTAGCAAAAAGAGGAGAGGGAGTAATTAGTAGAATGACAAGAAATTATGTTTTTTTGCTTGAGCAAGAATTTACAGTTCAAATAAACACAGYAACTGGACTAATTTCAGTTTTTAGWTGGAGAAACTGGGGCACAAGAAGAAGAAACAAACCCAAGTCTTATGGATGGACAGGGTCAGCTGATGTTTTCAGAGTACAATTACACTTGATTACAGCTGCAACTTCTAATATTGAATGGTGGGGAGGTATTTATTCAGGTTGGAGGTGAGCAGCTTTTATAATGACTCCAAGTTTGGGATATGTCAAATGAAATTTCATTTTTATTTTCTACTAACAGTGCCAGACTGGCCTCTCTTTTTGGACTGGATCAGGTTGCTGCTGGCCATGGAAATGAATTCTTCCAGTATACAGCTCCAAAGCAGCCTAAGAAAGGCCCGGGAACAGCAGCAATAGGTAAGTTAAGAGGCATTTTCATTGTGCCTTAACAGGTTAGAGTCATAAGCAGCCTTGCAAAAGCCACATGCCTGGTGGTTCAGCCTTGACCTTCTGGCTAAGCCACTCTACTGATGGATGCATCTTTAAACTCTGGGATCCTGAGTTCCAGTGGCTAGATAGTGTGCTCTTTGTTGGGAACTAGTGGAGAAGGTCAGGGGCAAGCTCTTCTGTCCCATATGCACACCACCCCATGTGCATGCCGCCCTCCAAAACTGCCCACGGCACTCTAGTAGGCACTGTTCAGTGTTTCAGTGAGAAAGAAGAACTGCTTAACACTTCTTACACTTGAGTGGGTTAGCTGTGTGCTGACTGAATTTTTCCTAACTAGATGGTGACAAGCATTTGCAGTAAGTCTTATTCTTTTATCAGAATGGACACAGGAAGCATTTGTTGAATGCACATCTGCTGGACAAAAGGAGAGAACTGGGGACTAATATTTCTAAGATGTCTGTTATGTGTCTGGCCCCAGGTGCTTTACAATAGGTTGTCCTATTTCATTCTTGTAGTGATTCTGTGCAGTAGGTGACATAACCAGATTATAGAGGCTCAGAGAAGTTTAGGAATTTGATCAAGGTCAGTACTTAGTAAGTGACAAGAGTTGAAATTTGAACCCTGATCTAACTAACTCAGTAGCTTTTATTCCTTCCTTTACACTTTGCTGTCTTTGTATAAGAACCCAAGTAAGAATAAGGGATTGATAGTAATAATCCTAAGTAGAGCAGATGGTTAGGAACATTGAATGAAATATTTGTTGAATGAAGATTAAAGAAAGTATTGAGTGCCTTTTACATGTTAGGTACTATGCTAGCACTGAAGATACTTATCAGGGTGTTTAGAGTTGAGTTGCGGCAATAGATCCCATATGTATGGCCCATGTAAAAGGAAGGAACAAACTATTTTGTTTTCTTTACTCTGTACTTTCTACTCAATCACAGCATCTGTCTATGATGCTAATTGTGTGCAGGGTTTTCCCCATACACTGAGAAATTTTCTGACTGACACCAACTCTTTAGTTATGTGGTTTAAACCAAGGGCATGGTTCATGTTAACACTGGCTCTACCACTGAGCTGCATCCCCAGCCACAATTTCCAATTTTAGAACATAAGTGTTACTCTATAGCACTTTGTGAAGTTAAGTAAAGGGTATGATTTAAATCACCCCAAATTTCCTACCCCAGAAGGAAGAAAAAGGGAAACAACTTAGTTTTTTTTTWWWAAATTAATTTATTATTTTTGTGTTACTGGGCACTGTATATGCTAGGCAAGTACTCCACCACTAAGCTACATCCAAAACCTGAGAAATATCTATTTTTATATATCATAGCTGTCAAAATATTTGATGGAGAAAATCAAGTAGAGGCAATATGACCATGCTTGCTAGACAGTGCTTCTGTGCAGCTCAAAGACTTGTTTGTGGTTTGTGGCTTGGGAGTTGGAGTCATGAGTTCTACTCCAAGGCTTATTGCTGTCTTTGTGGAAGGTACTTGAATGCTTACAGCCTTTTGCCTCACCCCGAGACTGGGTCATGGGATTATCTTGTGGATCAAATGAGGATGTGGGGCTGGGGATGTGGCTCAAGCGGTAGCGCGCTCGCCTGGTATGCGTGCGACCCGGGTTCGATCCTCAGCACCACATACCAACAAAGATGTTGTGTCTGCCGAGAACTAAAAAATAAATATTAAAAAAATTCTCTCTCTCTCTCTCTCTCTCTCTCTTAAAAAAAAAAATCAAATGAGGATGTGAATGCATTATAACACTAACTGGGTATAAAGAAGAATTTTAAAGCTAGTTTAATGGTTAAAATCAGTTTCAAGCAAGAAATGATTGACGAYTTCGTTTTGTTCATCTTCAGGAAATCAGGCAACACCAAAAACAGCACCAACCACAGCGGGCACTTCCACAGTACTGGTTGCAACAGCAGTCCATGCATATCGATAGTAAGTAGCTGAGAAGGGAAGTTCTCTTAAGTTTGGTGGAGGAGAGGGGACTGCAATTAAGCTGCTGTCTTTTCTCAGAAAGCCTCTATTCATTGCAAACTACTTACTCAGCCCTTCCACAGACTAAGTATCAGTAACACTTTTAACATTTCAGTTGGAGATTTCTAACGATAAAACATACAGAGCCATTATTTCATCTCTTGTTTTTAAGAAATGCTCATAACCAATAACTGCCTTTTCAAGTTCTCAGAGAAAGCCACTGCACTGAGATATCATGAATAATAGATTTTAAGAGTAAAGAAGTTATGTTAAGGCTTTAAATTATAAACTGCCCACCTCTGTCCCTTCCTAAAGGCTGAATGACTGGACTCCCCCTTTTAGATGACTGAGTGATAGTTGGTTCTGTATAGTTCAGAAGAGTATTAATATCTCTTGTTTTTTTTTTTGTTTGTTTGTTTGTTTGTTTGTTTTTACTTCAATAGCACAAATGGTCAGTATGTAAAGCAGGGCAAATTTGGTGCTGCAGTCCTGGGGAACCACACAGCCAGAGAGGTAAGAACGCTATACGTTTCATGCATATTCAAGTGCTTCAAATAATACCAGTGAGCTGATTTTTTTTTTTTTTTTAAATCTGGGAGCAGACATGTCCAAGTGTCTCATGTGTCAGAATGATTGCTGAATTTGAATATAAGCGTATAATATTAGGATATAACAAATGAACATAGTTTGCTTGCTATTATGAGTTAAAACAGGTTCAACCACTCAAAATCTTTACTGTAGACATCTTTGTGAAATGGTCCTAGCTTAAGAATTTGGAGGGTTTTAGAGTAAACTATTATCAYGGACATCCTTTTGTTGTGTACTGAACTTTATAATATTACTTCAAGCAGCATATCTTTATGCTTTTGTTAATGACCAATGTTTATCTTTTGAAAATTTGAAAACAAGATTGGGCAGTTGCTCACAGTATAATAGTAGTTTGGGTCAAAAAGCAGAAGTAGCTACAAGCCCTGAGACTCATTTTTTTGTATGGGTTGAATCTGTCTATAAAAACTACTCCAAAAGATTTTGAACATTGTTGAGATAAATATAGGAAATTATAGAATTTCAGAGGTCCAGAGAACATGGACTCCATGTTCCTCAGAGACTTTCAGGCAAGGAGATAAGATTACTTGTCCAGGGTCACTAATGTAATGGATAAACTCATTAAAAAAGTAGATCTTGGATATTGAACTCCAAGGTAATTATTATTAATAGTTATTAGTTTTTTTTTAGTTATCTATAACCACATGCTCTCCTCTTTTTCCCACTCAGATTATTTTGAACAAATATCAACAAACAATTTTAGCTGCAAATACTTTAGTATATATCACTGAAAGATGAGTGATTTAAAAATAAAACTGTTATGCCATTATCATGCCTTAAAAAAAAAAAGCAGACAATAATTTCTCAGTCTCATTCCCTGCTAGTTAGTGTATAAATTTCCTCTCTTTGCTTTTTTTAAAAAAATAATTTGTTGAATCTGGATCTAATAAGGTTATACATTGCAATTGGTCGCTGTATCCCTTAAATAGTTTATACTCCCATCAGGAGAAAATAATGATCATTTCTCATTTTGTTATATTACCAGCCATCAATGATTATTATCTCGATCTGTCAATTCATTAGGAGGTGCCGTTTGGATTTCAAAAATCTTGTAGTGGGACTTCACTATACCTTACCACCAGATAGGATGTAGTGGAACTCTGCAACAAGTACAAAGAAATACATGAATTGCAAAAATTGTACTTCAGAATTCATTGGAGTACTGTGAAAATGTTGAAGCCTAGATGAAACTAAAATTTCAGAAAAGGAAGAGCCAATGAGATAACTCTGTTTCTTTGCCTTGAGATTTTTGCTAGTTTTAGGTATAGATTAGGTAGTAGGCATGGAGAAAAGAGAAATTGGAAAAATTAGAGGATTTCCAAACACCAGATTGTTTTTTTCTTTCATGGGACATTTGCTAAGTACTGGGATGGTGTAGAAGTCCAGGGGCTGAACCAGAAATACAGAGGGAAACTTTTGAGTCTTGTAGTGTGTARGAAATAAACTCTGTGCGCACACACTCTCTCTCTCTCTTTCTTTCTCTCTCTCTGTATCTCATTCCTTGGTATCCATGGGGGATTTGTTCTAGGACCACCCCCTGCAGATACCAAAATCTGCATGATCAAATTCYCTATTGTCCTAGGACTGTATTTGGATATAACCTGTGAATATTCTCCTATAGTATACATACTTTAAACCATCACTAGCTTACTTACAACACTTAATATAATGTAAATGCAAAATAAATAGTTATTATATTGTTTAGATAATATGATTTTAAAAGTCTGTGCGTGTTCAGTGTGGACAAAATTTTTTCACCAAATATTTTTAATCTACATTCTGTTAAATCCATGGATATAAAACCGACAGATACTGAGAGCCAACTGTATTTGTATGTTAATGTATCTATATCTATCTATATGCATATAAAATAGAATTTGCTATTTAACTATATTAAGTACATAATTCAGTGGCATTAATTCTACTCACAATATTGAGCAACCATCACCACTATCTCTTTCCAATTTTTCCTAATCCCCAACAGAAACTTAAACCATTAAGCAATAACTCTATCTCCATTTCCCCTCATTCCTCCATAATCTCTGATCTACATCCTATTTCTATGAATTTGCCTTATACCTTATGTTCTTTTGTGATTGACTTATTTCATTTAGCACAATATCCTCAAGGTTCATCCACATTGCAGTATGTGTCAGTACATCATTCCTTTTCATGGCTGAATAACGTATCAGTTGAGGAACACTGGATTATCTCTTTCTTTGGCTATTGTGAATAATGGGGCAATGAATACTGACACACAAGTACATGTTTGAGTTCCTATTTTCAGTTCTTTTGGGTGTATAAACATATTTCAGAGATATTGAGGGTTTGAAGGTTTGGTTCCAGAGCACTACAATAGAGCAAATGTCTCAATAAAGTGAGTCACATGAGGGTTTTCTGTTGTTGTTATTGTTGCTGTTGTTTGTTCAATTCTTATTAAGGTTATACTCACACTATACTGTAATCTATTAAGTATGCAATAACATTATGTCTAGAAAATGTTCATACCTTAACTAAAAATACTAAAATAGCTAATGATCTTCTGAGCCTTTAGCAAGTCATAATTTTTTTGCTGGTGGAGAATTTTCCCTCAGTGTTGTTGACTGCTGACTGGTCAGGGTGGCAGCTGTTGAAAGTTGTGATGGTTATGGCAATTTCTTAAAATAAGACAGTGAAGCTTTCTTTTATGAAAGAATTCTGTAAATTGCAAAGCTGTTTGATAATATTTTATCCACAGAACTTCTTTAAAAATTGAGGTTAGTCTTCTCAAACCTGGCTACTGTCTTATCAGCTAAGGTTATATAATCTAAATCCTTTATTTTCATTTGAACAAGGGTAGAGTCCATCTAAAGAAGCCTCTTTCTTTTTTTTTTTTTTTTTTTGGTACCTAGGATTGAACATGGGGCACTCTGCCAATGAGCCACATCCCCAGCCCTTTTTTGTGTTTTATTTAGATAGGGTCTCACTGAATTGCTTAGCACCTCGTTTTTGCTGAGGCTGGTTTTAAATTTGTGATCCTCCTGCCTCAGACTCCTGAGCTGCTGGGTTTACAGGCCGGTGCCACTGCGCCCAGCAGAAGCCTCTTCCTTTGCTCATTCATAGGAAACAGTTCTCATCTGTTAAAAGTTTTATCATGAGATTATAGCAACTCAGTCACATTGTCAGGCTATACTTACTGTTTGCACCACATTTGCAATTACTTCCTTGACTGAAGTCTGGAACTTCTCAAAGTCATTCCTGCACGCAGTGGAGAGTTATAGTTTCTCTACATCCTTGCCAATATCTTGTTATTTATTTTTGCTATTCTAGTAGGTGCAAAGTAGTATTTTATTGCGCATTAAATTATTATTGTTTTTTAATGCTGGGGATTGAGTCCAGGGCCTCATACATGCTAAATACATACTCTACCCATGAACTATACCTCAACCCCTATGTAGAAACCTGTATCCAAAAAAATACCCTTTAAAAATAAAGACAAGATAAGTTTTCCAACAAAAGCTGAGAGAATTTGTTGTCCACAGATTTGTATTGTAAGAAACATTAAAGGAAGCTGTGTAGGTTGAAAGAAATGAATGTCTGTGCACTCCAGATGACATGGGGAATGTTCACAGAAGCACTCTTCACAGTAGCTTCTGACTGGAAGCGACTTAAAATGAAACAGGAGAAAGGATGAATATATTATGGTATATTCATAAAAGAGAATGCTACATGACAATAAAAGAGAGCCAAGGTCTGGTACAAGAAGTAACAAGGCTTAATCTTAACTTGTGAGCAGAAGCAGCAAGACAAGAGTACACTCTAGAATCCCATTCATATGTGTTTAAGAATAGCAAAATTAATCAGTGATAGAAGTCAGAGTAGTGGTTACTTCAGGGTAGGGATTATTAAGAGGAAGTGTCATAATGGCACTTTTAGGATACTGGAAATATTTTCTCCCCCACCCCAATCCGATTGGTCATCACATGGGCATATATATGTGTAAAAATTCATTGAGTTGTACATTTAAGATTTGTACAATTTACTATTATGTTTTAAGCAATCAGTCACTTACCTCTTAGACATTCCTTATATGAATGAAAACACCAACAAAGATAGTTTATTATAGTTAAAGAGTAAGGCCAAAATGAGAAGATATAAACTGACTAATGAGAAGATATAATTTAAAATCTAAACCTTTAAGAGATGAACAGAGTTTTGAGTTTTGTAGGTATATAAGGCATAACCCTATGTCTTACATAGCATTATGTATTATGTTTTATATTGCTTGTTAACTTCTGTTTTCTTTTTTCTGCCCATTTTGCTTAAATATAGTATAAGATTCTTCTTTATATCAGTCAGCAACAACCAGTTACTGTTGCTAGAATTCATCTGAACTTTGAGCTAATGGTAAGACATCCCCCATACTGGAATCCTTAGCTCCTTTGGGATAGGTTTGCAGGAAGGATGAGTGTGGGTACCTGGTAGAAATTAGATCCACTGCTTCAGCCCTGAGCACCCGTAACAGAGCCTTTCAGAAAGGTCTCTTGGCTTCCTTCTGGAATGGGGGCTGAGGAATGGTGGATGGAGGGTGGGAAGGAAGAAGAAAGGTCCCTGATTCCTCCCTTTGGGTTTACCTAAGTTGAGTCCTTCTCTATGAATTTATGCAGTCAGACTTTCCTACCATGCAGCTTGTGGTTGAATTATCTTAATATTTCTCATTTCCCAGGTTCGCCCCAATAACTATAGCACCTTTTATGATGACCAACGACAAAACTGGTCCATCATGTTTGAGTCGGAAAAGGCTGCTGTGGAGTTCAATAAACAGGTGAGATTATATTACTCTTTCCTGTGCAAAGCCAGAGTGTTAGTTTGGGGTCTGCCTTAATTCTAGGTTCACATATGTAAACCTATAACTGCTGTCTTGCTAGTGACAAGCATAAGAAACCCACTAAAATTGTCACTTCAGCTTATTGTATTTTAGGAAAATCATAGCAATGCTTACTGAAATTGCCTGATGAGTCTTTTTAAGATAAAAAAAAGGCTAAATATGTAAGCTTACTTAATTAAAACATTTTTGCTACATAAATTATCTTAAGGAATAAATACAAATCTTAAACAATGTTTTGTTATTGCATATTCATCATAGAAAATGTAGAAAAGCATTTAAAAAAATCATTCATAATTTCACTACCCTAAGTAACTACTATTAACATTATGTCTTTTCCTCTTTATATATGCCTAATATACATAGTAGATGTACTTCTTTAAGAGTTCCATATTTTGCTTATTTTATTTAGCAGTATATAAAGTATCATTTCCCACCTCATGAAAAAATCGTTTAGAAACATTATTGAAGCTACAAAATATGGATATTGTCTGCATATGGTTTAAAAGTGTCCGTCCCTCCAGAAAACATACATTGAAACTTAACCACCAAAGTGATGGTATTAGGAGGCGGGGCCTTTAGGWAGTGGGACCTTTGGGAGGTGTCTAGGTTATGAGAGCTCTGTAGTCACGAATGGGATTAATGCTCTTGTTACAGAGGCTGCGGTGATCTGCCGCCTCCTTCTGCATCAAGATACTGTCTTAGGCAATTTGGGCTACTATAACAAAGTACCATAGACTGGATGGCTTTATGAACAGGAGAAAATTATTTCTAATGACTGTGGAGGCTGGAAGTACAAGATCAGGGTCTCAACATGGTTGGGTTCTGGTGGGCCCTTTTCTGGGTTGCAATTTGCTGTAAAAAGGGGAGTTTTTTGGAGTCTCTTGCCCATTTTTTTCCTTTTCTTTCTTTCTTTTTCTTTTTTTGGAGGTACTAGAGTTTGGGGATTGAACTCTGGGGCATTCTACCATTGAGCTACATCCTCAGCCCTTTTTATTTTGAGACAGGGTCTCATTAAGTTGCTGAGCCTAGCCTCATACTTGTGATCCTCCTGCTTCAGTCTTTGGGATTACAGGTGTGTGCCACCCCATTTGGCTCTGGACTCTCTTTCATAATGGCTCTTAACCCATTTATAAGGGCTCTAATTTCATGACTTAATCACCTTCTGAAGGTCCCATCTCCTAATACTGTTACATTGGGGGTTGGGATTTCAATAAATGAATTTTGGGAGGACACAGACATTTAGTACATAATAGATGCTTCTGAATTTATTTCACCATTTCCTTGCTTTTAGGAAGTTAGGTTGTTTTTAGCCTCTGAAATAAATCTATAATGTATTGTGAACATTTCTAAAATATAAGTCTGTATCCTCTTTTTCTCTCCATATTTCCAGAAGTGAATTATTGGGTCAAAACGACAAATTATTTTCAAATTCTGAACACACTCTGACACAGTGTTTCTCAGAAAGATTGTACTATTTCATATCCATCCCAGTTCTGGAGAGGGAGGGAGAGAGAGAGAGAGAGAGAGAGAGAGAGAGAGAGAGAGAGAGAGAGAGAGAAAGAGAGAGAGAGAGAGAGTTTATTTATTTATTTTAGTTTTTTTTGGCGGACACAACATCTTTGTTTGTACGTGGTGCTGAGGATCGAACCCGGGCCGCACGCATGCCAGGCGAGCACGCTACCGCTTGAGCCACATCCCTAGCCCCATCCATCCCAGTTCTTTATGTCTTCAGTAGCATTTAGAATGATCTTTTTTCTTTTTTGTCTTAGTCACTTGATAGAGGATGATATCCTATCATTTTAGTTAGCATTTGTCTGATTGCAATAATGAAAATAAAAAAAATAAAGAAAAAATAAAGAAAATGAGTAGCAAGTTTATAATGTGTGATATGTTAAAACATTGACTATAGAATAATTATTCACAAAGATGTGTCTGACTTCTTTTTTAAGATTTATGCTAAGATAATATAGCCAAGCCTGTAAGTGGTGATGATTTGAGTTCTGGGAATACAACTTTGTTTTGTCTTTAGAAGTGCCTTTTGAAATTTTTTAGAAACTCCCCTTTCTTTCATAAGTTCCTAATGCTGACATAGTAAATCAGTATAGTAATCACAACTAATGTTTATAGAGTACTTACTGTCATTTTCCGGGTGTGCTGCCAAGTACCCTACTTGTAACTCATTTCATTTTCATAACCATCCTATAAGTAGGCAAAGCTTTTTTCTTTATTCTACAAGGGACTTTTGGGTACATGGGGATTAAGTTATTTTGCCACAGCAAAGTTAAGAACTGACAGTACCTGGATTTGTAAGGTTATTGCTTAGGCACTTTGATTTTTGGAGAGATTACTGACTTTGGAATGCCATATTCTTAGGCATTTTGATTCCTGGCAAGATTACTGACTTTGGAATGGCTTACTTCTAAACATGCTAGTGGATGCAGCTGCTTGGAAAGAGAATTGGCAATAATGATTTAAATGAGTACTTTATTGAGTTTAAACCAAACTCATGCTGCTATGATTTTTGTCTTGCAGGTGGGCATTGCCAAGTGCAATAGCACCTCTTCCTTGGATGCAGTGCTCACTCAGGACCTCATTGTGGCAGAGGGCCCCGCTGTGGAAGTTGGAGATTCTTTGGAAGTGGCTTATACTGGCTGGCTCTTTCAGAATCATGTGCTCGGCCAGGTAAGAGAATGTACCCTGCAAATTCTTTAATAACTTAGGTAGTATGAGGGCTATTCATGTGGAAGGTATTAGTACTGTGAATTGCTAATACCTTCCACAAAAAGAAATCTTTCAGGAGCCCTGCTTTAGTCACTATAGCTGCTTTGGGGGCACATTCATGAAATGATGTGTAAAAATCTGCTCAGTGCCACTTTCTTCTACACAGGTCAGTACAAACCAGTTTCCCARGTATTATTTTTGCCAGTTGTTCATGTGTGTCTTGTCTTCCCACACAAGTTTTAAATTGAATGTGTTCTTATGGGATTAGGTCTTACTTTTTAGACCCTCCTCATAGTTTTTCTTACAGAAGATAGAGTAAATATGTTGGGATTGTATTTTAATATTGTGAAGCCATCAAAAGCAATGTGATATAACAAAGATCTTTGGATCATCACTTTATTACTTTAAAAATATGAACACAAGTTCCAGTTTTATCCTAATTTGACCTCAAATTATTGAAGCTCTTAATTCCTTTTTTCTTTTGTGAATGGAGGCTCACAAGCTACTTATTCTATTTACCCAGCAGGATTGGCATCTACATCAAATGAGATAATTTATTTGAAAATGCTTTATGGATGAAAGATGCTTAAATACATGGTGATAGAAATGTATTTTTTTCCTAATCTGGGATATCATTATCATTGAGATACTGATTATGATAATGCCCTTTAGCCATTATGTGGTCCCATCTTTTCAGATTCTTTAAGAATCTGAAAATATTCTGGTTTTATTTGACATTCCCTATTCAGAAAGTACTGATATGGTAGTTGAATGTCTTAATGATTGTTATTATTTTTTGAAATTAGGTGACCTCATTTGCTGTAATTAAATTGCAGGTTTTTGACTCTACTTCTAACAAAGATAAGTTGCTTCGCCTGAAATTAGGATCAGGAAAAGTCATCAAGGTAAAGGCCTAACTACATTTTGGAATTCTTAATAAAGTTTGTGGCATTCTGACCTGGATATATCTTTTGAGGGTATGAAAACACTTGGTTGAATAGCAGGCAGGCACAAAGTTGTTATGTGATCTGCATCTGGGAGATTTTTACCTCTGAGACTCTATATTGAAGATGGGTACATTTGTTTTCTGTAACTCCTACCCTTTCTTTCTCATCCTGTGACTYTGAGAAAATTATTACATCCTTCCTATAGCCTAAAGGGAAAGGTGAAACTATTTCTTCYAGAAGTGTGTGGAAATGGGTTGATTCTCATCTGTCTGGTTTGCTTTGCAAGCACCACATAGCAGAAGGAGCTCTAGGATTGGAATCTCAGACCTGGGTTCAAGCTGTGAATTTTATCTTTACCAACTATGCAGGTGTTTTATAAAATAAAGACTGATTAAAAAAAATAAAAAAAAAAAAAAAGACTGATTTACAAATATTTTATGGTGATACAGTTTTCTGTACTCACTCATCCATGTGGCAAAATGTTTTTCTCCATTGCTTCGTTTATGACCAGTTTTCCCAGAATTCTTTGGAGATTTTTTTCCTGTAGTAGTTATGACATGATCCTGGAAGTGATACAGTTYTCATGTTGAATCATACAGCTCAGCAGCTTATTTACTGAATGATCTTGTGTTAGTTACTTAACCTAAAAAAACCCTCATGTTTCTTACATGTGAGATGGGGATAAAGCTATCAATTTTATGAGACTTGGGAGAATAAACAAAATAATGCATGTAAATCACAGTACCTAGAAAAACATACTTTATATATAAGTAATAACCTTTATTTCTCACTTATTGCTATTTAATTCTTTCCATTTTTCTCTTAGCTTCTAAGATAAGTGTATTTCACCCAACCCCAGATATGCCAACTTTCACTAATAATTTTAGAAGCTACATTCTAGATATTTTTATAACCAACATGGAGGATAGTTGAACTTGACCTCTAGAAGCATAGCCTAAACCTGAAAGTGGATAAGTGAAATATGATGCTCCTGTACTTCACTTTGTCTTTTATAAGGAGTTTCTTGTCTGATGAGCTTTTCCCCATCTTTTATTCCTAAAGGGCTGGGAGGATGGAATGCTGGGAATGAGAAAAGGAGGAAGGAGATTGCTTTTCATCCCTCCAGCCTGTGCTGCTGGCTCTGAAGGAGTAATAGGCTGGACTCAGTCCATGGACTCAATCCTGGTGTTTGAAGTGGAGCTTAAGCGGGTGAGTTAAACTGTTCTGTATTGTGTTTGACAAGCCCTCTATTAAATAAGATGAATAACTAAATGAATATGTTTAAAGGTTCTGAAGAAACATATTTCTTTTAAAAAGTAGAAATGAAATAGCTGTAAAGAACAATAGCTCTGCACTGGGTTCGATCGTCAGCACCACATAAAAATAAATAAAGATACTGTGTGTTCATCTACAAYTAAAAAAATATTTTAAAAAAAGCAAGTTGAGGGCTGGGGTTGTACCTCAGTGGTAGAATGCTCACTTAGAATGTGTAAGGCACTAGGTTCAATCCTGAGSACCACATAAAAATAAATAAACAAAATRAATAAAAAAAAAGAACAATAGCTCTGGAATCTAAAGACTAAGGTTTATGTTCTTCTGGCCCTCTATCCAAAGTCTAGAGAGGTGTGACTTTGAGTAAATGACTTTTCCACACTAAGCTTCTTTGTCCATAAAATAATGGTTCCTGCCCTATGTACATACCTTTTGACTTAGTGATTCAATGGCTACAAATTTATCTTATCAATATATGTATATATTTACATGAGTGTGTATATATATATATATATATATATATATATATATATATATATTTTCCTTATTCTAACACATGGTTGTAATAATACAAAACTGGAAACCACCTAAGTGTCATTAAAAGATTGGTTAAATTGTAGGGTTGTTTTTTACTTTTTTCACAGAATAGACTTTTTATGGGACTTTTTAAAAAAAACAGCCAAAATCTATTGTTAAATTCAAGAAGCAAGTTACAGAGGAGTATGGGAAGTCTAATCTCATGTATGTGACCATCCACATTCCTCTGTAACTTGCTTCTTGTACTGAACATATAAATGCATATATGATATATATATGTGCATACTAATGTAAATATATGCATATGTTGATAATGTGACTTTATCTTTTTCTTTTTTTCTAAATTTTCTGATTTGCCTATAATGAACAGGTGATGGCTTGTGTGTTGAGGAATAAGAAAAATGAGAGGTGTGTGGAGGGGAAAAGATCTGCAGCCTGTTCCATCTTTGCTGGTTCTTTCCTAGGTGAAGTTTGCCAGAGATTCTGGCTCTGATGGGCACAKTGTTAGTTCCCGGGATTCTGCGGCTCCTTCTCCCATACCTGGTGCTGACAACCTTTCTGCTGATCCTGTTGTGTCACCACCCACATCGGTGCCTTTCAAATCAGCGTAAGACACTAGGGTTGAATCAAGCTCTTTTAGTGTTCGTAAAAATGATTCCTAGAGGAGTTCAGATACAGGGACATAGTTAAAAACTATAATACTTTAAAATAATTGGACAAATGGGATCAGGGAAACAGGGAAAGAGTTTGCATTAGATTTTCTGACAAAGTATTAATAGTCATAGAATATAATATATATATAATACATACCATGTACATATATATATTTTCTGTCTTCAGAATGGAGAATATGTACCCCTTAGTGTAGAAGTACTGAATCACATAGATAATGATACCTGCAAAACCCTGGAAGGAAAATTGAGCAAGGGGTGTAAATACAAAACATATACTCATGGGAAAAAATGTAAATAATAAATATTTGAATGGGAAGTTGTTCATCTTCACTAGCATTCAAAGATGATGCAAACTAAAGAAGAGCTACAATTCTGGGTTGTTTTCAAAATTGGTGATTAAACCCAGGGGCATTCTACTACTGAGCTACATCACCAGCTTTTTTTATTTTTGAGACAGAATCTCACTGAGTTCCCCAGGCTGGTCTTGAACTTGTGATCCCCCTGTCTTAACATCCACCCACCCCCGCCCCGCCACGAGTTACTGGGATTATAGGCKTGTGCCATTGTACTTGGCTTAAAATTCTGTTTTATAACTGATAGGTTGGCAAACATTTTCAAAAACAGTTTGATTGTCCAGTATAATCTGGGTTTGTGATTATAGATTTTGTTTTTATCTTAGCATATGTTTTCTTTGCTTTCAGGGAGCCAGCTCTTCATACCAAATCTAACTCCCTCAGCGAACAGCTTACAATAAATACAGTAAGTAAAAGAGTTTATCTTCCTCAACCCCCACATGTAGAGGTTTCATATTTCTAGGACGTCAGTGCTGAGTCAGGCCCATTTAACTCTGACTTGGCATTGATTATACATAGACCCTGTGATAGAAGCCTTTGTTTGTACTAACTGATCCAAAGCACTGTCTTCAGAATAGAGTTCATACCCCTGAAGGTACACAAGATGATCTCCTGGGAGAAGAAAGAAATAGTCATAACCTTCTCTTTTATTATTTTTCAGCTATAAACATCAGACATTAATTTGTTTACAGGAACTAATAGTACTTTTATGTGTATACTCTATTGATAGACATTCAGGATTATGTGCTCATTTTTTCTGAACTAATGGAGGTACATATTAAAAAAAGTTTGATACATTAAGAGAGGAGAGAGGACTAGTGATATAAACCATACTCACATAATAGAATATCATGACCTGTAGACTTATAAAACACTGTCATTTTTCATGTGCCTAGGGTTTTCTAGGTTGGAGGGGAAAAAAGTGTTGTGAATCCTTGATTTTGGTTTGAAATTGGTTATTTTATTCATTTCCTCTTATTTGGAAGTCAATGTAAGTTAGCTTGGGATTTTGCATAGACAGACCTAAGTTAAAATCTTGGTTCTTCACTTTCACASTGTTGATGGGATTACAAATTAGTGCAACCAGTGTGGAGGTTCCTCAAAAGACTAGATATGGAACCACCATATGACCCATCTATACCACTCCTCARTATGTATCCTAAAGAATTAAAGTCATCATACTATAATGATACATGCATACCCATGTTTATAGCAGAACAATTCATAATAGTCAAACTATGGAATTAGCCTATCTGTCCATCAACAGATGAATGGATGGAGAAAGATGTGTGTGTGTGTGTGTGTGTGTGTATCTATATCCCTATTTTTTAAATACAATTTTATTTCTTTCAGTGAATTTAAAGTAAAGAAATATACACACACACAATAGAGTTTTATTCATCTATAAAGAAAAATGAAATTATGTTATTTGCAGAAGAATGGATAGAACCATTATTTTAAGTGAAATAAGCCAAATTCAGAAGGTCAAGAGTCATGTTTTTTCCCATATGTGGAAGCTAGAGAGGGAAAGGAAAAGAAAGGTSGTAGTAGGGAATCATAAAAATTGAAGGGATATCAGTATAATAGAGGAAAGGGACCAGAAATGGGAGGTGAGGAGGGATGGAAGGGAAAATTCTAGGTCATTGATGATGTTGGTCAAATTATATTGTTATATTGTGTGCATGTATGAATATATAACAACAAATCCCACACTATACATATTTATTATATATAACTGTAATGCATCAATAAAAATGTGGGGGAAAAAATAAAAAAATATTGATTCTTATAAGCATGGGATCCTAAAAAATATTTAAATCCTTTCATCCTGAGCTTCTTTATTATGAAAATGGAAATAATTTTCGTAGCCTCCTGTACAGTTCTTTTGAGGACTACAGATATTTGTAAAGCTCTGAGCTCAGAACCTATGTGAAACATATCTTTAAGAATGGTAGCTATGATTATTATTAGGAGAATGACATTAGATTGGGGGAGGGGCCATTGGTTAAAGTACACTYCAATTTTGGAAATACCATCATTAACTTCTAAAAAAAAATTGATTCAAGCTTTCCTATTACCTGTGTGAATCAAAACTTTAACACAGGYAAGCAATTATGCATAGAATGAAAATGCTAACAATTCTCTTGTCTATCTTACTGAAGTGGTTAAAAAATGAAAGTTTTTAGTTTGATAGATTTATCAATGAAAAATGATCTATGGGAATGAACAAGTTTAGAGCTTTGGGAATTAAAAAGCGACTTTTCTCTGTGTTACTTATGAACCATTAGGATTTGATCTGCTTTGTGGACAGGTCTGTGGTTTAGGAATTAAGCTGTAGTATAAATTTCCAGCTGATCCAAGTCTCCTGGAATGGGTGCTTTTTGAATGGTATTGGCAGCWTTTGAGCAGATCAGCTCTTCATATGTCTGGTCCCTTTCAGTCACTGGGATGCCAACTCAAATACTTAGGACATTCTTAATAAGAAATAGTAATATTTTACTCAAATAGGACCAGATTTTTGAAATTTGGTTYATGAGTGTGACATTCTCAGATTTATATAAAAAGTAGAAATATGTACAATTTGACATTAAAAGAAAGAAATTTGTAGCAGTCTTTGATGTTTCTTAATCCCTGTTAGAGGCCTGAAACTTTGTACCTGAATAACTTGTTTAGCATTCAGAGTGCTTTTTGATGCCTTAGAAATAGGAAAAACAATTTTTTGTTTGACAAAAGTTAGGAAAGGGAAAGTCCATTCTACAGCTAATTAGATCTGCCTCTCAGAAAAAAGTTACTAAATTGTTCTTTTTGTTCTTGGCTTTCAATTGTGAGATTACTCTATTTTAAAAAGATAATTGTATTTATTTCAATGAGTTTAAAATAAAGAAATTTGGAGCAATAAAAAATACCATTATTCAAAGAGGAATATATTAGTGGTTAATGGTAGGCTTTCTCTGCTACTTACTTTCTGTTACCTTAAGCAACTTAGCTTCTCTAAACTTCAGGTTTATTTCCTTCTCTGTAAAATGAAGATACTGCCAATCTTGGAGATTTTTATGATTTTTAAATAAAATAATGCTTAATTCCTTAATATGTGTATAGCATACTGTAACAGGTCAATAAACATGTCACTTGTGATCCTCCTGCCTTAGTGTCTGAAGTTGCTGTGACTATATCTTCATATTTAATTCTCTCAGAGTAATTTGGGACTCATCACAGATCTGTTGTCTTTAAGTAGGTGCTTGGCCTTTGTGTATTTGAGAGGACCAGCACCCTATTTTAGTAAAGTGTGGATTCAAATGCCCTCAGGAAGGGTACGTAGGGTAGTATGCTCTGCYCTGCCTGGTTGGGGGGGCTTCTGAGTGTGCTGCAAGTGGCCACATGGTGGCTGAAGCACTTCAAATCCTAAAGCCCTTCTGCCTTCACCTAGGACATTGGGGAAAAATAGGTGCATGGAGTGAAGTCGATGCTTCAGTTCTCTCAAACCCTAGTTTATATTCAGCCCAAAGCAGAAATTATTAAGCAAATAGTTGTTACAGTATGTGTAAACAGTGATCTCATAAAACCTGAAGCCTAAACCAAAGAATCAGAAGAAAAAAAAGTAATCATAATCTCAGCTGTTTTTTTAAAATATTTTTTTATTTTTTAGTTGTAGTTGGACACAATACCTTTATTTCATTTATTTATTTTTATGTGGTGCTGAGGATCGAACCCAGGGTCTCGCACATGTGAGGCGAGTGCTCTACCGATGAGCCACAACCCCAGCCCAATCTCAGCTGTTTGAATAGTCATGAAAATTGTCCATTGTGGATTCCATTGTATTCTCTAGCCACAGCTGTTCATTACCTATTTCTTCAGTAACTTCTGGTAGACTAATGATCTCCAGCTTTTTTTTTTTTTCCTTCTATTTTTTGTACTTTTGTTCTGGTGGGATTTTTATTTTTTTATTTATTTATTTATTTTTTTTTTGCAGTATTTAGGGATTGAACTCAGGGGCACTGTACCACTGAGCTACATATATTCCCTTTATAGTTCTGTTTTTTACTTTGAGAAAGGGTCTCCCTAAATTGCCTAGACAGGCCTGGAACTTGGCAATCCTCCTGCCTCAGCCTCTTGAGTAGCTGGGATTATAGGATTTTGCCACTACACTTGACATAACTTTGTTCTTTTGAATCGAGGCAAAATTTACATAAGATAAAATTAACCATCTTTTTTTTAATGTTTACATTTACATTTTTTTTGTTTGTTTTGAACAGGTAACTCATATGGCAAACTTAGCGGAACACTATATGATATACACATTGCAAGGACTCACTCCTATTCCTGTTCCCATCTACCCTATTCCATCTCATACCCCTAGGTAACTGCTATTACTAACTTCTTTTATATTCTTCCTAAGGGAAATGTATGTTTTATTCCTCCCTTCTTTCACACACAAAATAGCATACTATATATATTATGTGCCTTGCTTTTTACATATAGTATCATAGAGGGCGTCCTCATTTATTTTTATTATGTAGATCACAATACTCCATTGTGTGGATATGGTTTATATAACAAGTCTTCTCTCTTCTCTTATTGTATCATACTTTAAATTATGTACCTCSATCCGAGGTCAGGGAGCAGCAAAATATAAACACACCAGGAATTTCCTGGACCCAGGCTCTGGCTCCTACGTGGGTGCACCAAGCCTTAGGGAATCCTTGCAGCCAACAGGAGTCAGAAGGGACATCAGGCTAGCCAGACGGGCAGCTAGTCAGAAGGACAGCGATCAGCACTGAAAAAGATGCCAGCACTGGGTACCACATATGAAAGAATAGTTTACAAAAATCCCTCTGTGTACCACTACATGAAAGTCTGCCTGGAATTTCAAGATCATGGAGTTGGTCTGAATGCTGCACAGTTCAAAGAGCTGCTTATTTCTACCCTAAAGGACCTGTTTGGAGTGGTTGGTGCTGCCTTATCTCTGGATGTCCTGACCTATGAAGAGAAGACCTTGTTAGCCATCTTGAATATGTAGCAGTGGTCTATTCAAATTGTGCAGTTCTTTGACACTGTTAGGATCCTAGACAGGCAAAAAGTGTGCTTTCAGGGTGATTCAGGTTTCTCCATTTCTCCTCGTGTTATCTAGTAATAGTAGGGAACTAGTATTGGATTGAATAGTCTTCAATTTCAGAAACTTTCCTCTACTCTCAAAAGTACTTTTTGGTGGCTGCATAGTTTGAAACAGAAGCAGGGTAGAAGCTCCCATGGGTGAAATAAGAGGATGCCAAAGATGTTCCCAGTAATATCCAGCTATTGCCCTTGGTGGGGTGGACTTAAAGGAGATTCTGCCTGAATCAACCAGTGCGGAGCAGACAGCTCCTGCAGCATGTGCATGTGAGGGTTGGGGACTGGGTTGAACTCAGCAGGGCCTTCACACAGAGGGACATGGCTGCCTTTTCAGAATTAATGGAGATGTCATTCCTTTGCATTTAAATGAAGACTTTGCTAAACCAAGTTTGGAAAAACGATTGTACATGGAGTTTTGATCAATGGACTTACCTCAGCTCTCTTGGGTACTAAAATGCCAGGACCAGGCTGTGTATTTCTCTCCCAGGAAATTAACTTTCCTGCTCCTTTATATATTGGAGAAGTGGCTTTAGCTTCTGCAGAAGTGAAAAARCCGAAGTGGTTTGTTGCTTTTATTGCCATGTCTTATTGTGTAATAGAAAGTAAAGAGACTGTTATGTGAGGCTGGGTCAAGGTCATGGTTCCAGAAGCTCCCAAATCCTAATTACAGGTGTTTAAAGTTACAAGTTCAAACACCAGGGCGATTGTTATTAAAGAGCATCTGGGGAAATGGGCTACTTGCTATTCATCACTAAGGAAAGGCCAAGAGACTCAGAATCTATGTTAGAGAAGGGGAGCAATTTGAACTTTGGCTTCACCCAGAGCCAAGTAGATGCATGTCTTCATCATCTATTAAGGATTTGTTGTTGTTTGGTGTTTTGTTTTGTTTTTCTGGTACTGGGGATTGAACCCAGGGGTGCTTAACCATTGAGCCATATCCCCATCCCTTTTGTTTTTTTATTCTTTGAGACAGGATCTTGCTAAATTGCATAGGGCCTCGATAAGTTGCTAAGGCTGGCTTTGAACTTGTGATCCTCCTGCCTCAATCTCCTGAGTTGCTGGGATTACAGGTGTGTCCACTGCATCCAGCTGTTGGAAGTTTTTTTTAATTGAAAAAGTATCAGGAGGCTTACTTATCTGAAGGGTTTCTGCTTTCARAATTTAAACCTAGTTAGATTTTTGATAAACACCTGCCTATGTCTATGTAGAATAGGTTTCTCACTGAATTTATAACTGTCAAGCATATACTTGCTGAAGGCAGCAGTGGAACTTGGCTCATCTTTGAACACTTACCCTTTATCAGTAAATATTCTTAGATACCTTAAAAAAATTATGTACCTCCATTGGTTAAGAAAAAATGAGCACACAATCCTGAATATGTCTAGCAACAGAATGTACACTTAAAAGTGCTATTAATTCCTGTAAACAAACAATGTCCAATGTTTATGGCTGAAAAATAATAAAAGAGAAAGCTGTGACGATTTCTTTCTTCCCCCAGGAGATCCATCTTTTATAGATTCAGGGGAACATACTCTCCATTCTAAAGGCAGTACTTTGAGCCAGTTAGTGGATATAGAAGCATCTAGCACAGGGTCTAGTATATAGTCAAGCCAAGTTAGGGTTAAATGAGCCTGAATTTAGAACAAAGAACTCTTGTTTGCTKTTTTCCATAAATCTTTTCCAAATATCTATCTATTGAATGGCTTCATACTTTTGAAGGGGTCCTAACATCTAAAATGCTCCCTCCCTTAATATCACTGCCTTAGTTTTTCATCTGTAAAATGACAGTAATTGTGCCTGATCAGGAGACTTGATTAAAAAGAGGTAATACATATGAAGTCATTCTGTCCATACAAACATGTAGGGAATGATTTTTACTATTATAAGCTTTTACGTACTCATCTTTGATTCTTATTTTCTAGTGGAAATTAGATATAGGATGGGGACTTGTTAAAGGATTTGATGTAAGAGCCAAAGAAATAGAGCTTCCTAGAAATATTAATAGAGTGGAGGGAGGAGAACAGGGGGAGGGAAGAGGGGAGGGAAAGAGGAAGTACTGGAAACTTAATTAGAGCAAATTTATATTTCATGCTTTTATATTTATGTCAAAATGAATCCTAATGTTATGTATAACTAAAAAAAAAATGAATGAAAGAAATAGAGCCATCTGAAGGTAAGAAACCTTAATCACAATGATTTATATGACTTTTTCTTTTTAGAATCCTGATACAGTCAAGGCCAAGTTGATCTCTCGGATGGCTAAAATGGGCCAGCCCATGCTGCCCATTCTTCCACCACAGCTGGATTCCAATGACTCAGAAATTGAAGTATGTCCCCTTGGCTGTATTGAAACCAGTAGTACAAATGTTGCCATCTTTTTCCTTTGGTTGAAATGATTGCATTTTGGGCCTCTAATCCAGAATATTTAAGAGAGTTTATCTGCAAAATGATACAGATTGGTATTGGTACATATGTTTCAAATCTGATTAATACTTCCCCTGAGAAATGAAGTAATTCCATATATCTTCCACAAGATATGGGCAGTGTAAAGTAGCTAAATTAGCCTTCATTTGCCAGAATCTCTGTTGTCTGTCAAGATCAGTCATTAGGTAGTGGGATGCCCAAGGATGCCTAACCTAAAACAGGTGCTCAATTCATATTTGTAAGTTGAATGTTTAGATACTTTTGGGAAATGTTGGTCTTCCCACTGGAGCTGCCTATTATTTAAAGGTCAAACTCTTAACTCTTTTGACTTTGTATTTGTATTTGTGTATTTTTCTATGTAGAAGTTCTAGAATTTTGAGATCATATCTATCGATTTTCTCTTCTTGTTTTTTGCTTCTGACATGGTTAGAGGGCTTTCAGATATTAGAAACATCACATTTTTTAGAACTGTTTGTTTTTTCACATTTAGATTTGCATTTTTAGTCTACTTAGAATTTGGTGTATGATGTGAAATAACTTAATTTCAAATTAATTCTTTTCCCAGTGGTGAAGCTCCTTATTGAATAAAACCATCCTTTCTAATTAAATTGAAATACATGAGATTGATTTTTAGGATTCTTTCTCTTTGATGTAAAATGAAGAAGAGACAATGCTCAAGAAAAAAATGTATGAAATAAGCTTTATTTTTTATAATTTTGTTTTTTCCTGAGCAAGCTCTTACTTACAGTTTAACATTTTAAAAGAAGACAGGATTCTGAGGAATATTGTTTCTTATGGTTTATTTGGTTTCTGGAAATGAAATTTGAATAATATGATATTCTTATTAAAAATTTAAAGTGCTACTTATTTGTTGTAGAATAATTTAAAATTATAGAGAAAATCACATTTAACAAAAAGGTATTCTTTATAAATTGCTTTGCAACCTGATTTAAAAAAWTTTTTTAGTTGTAGTTGTACACAATATCTTTATTTATTTTTATGTGGTGCTGAGGATCATACCTAGCGCCTTACACATGCTAGGTGAGTACTCTACCACTGAGCACAGCCTCAGCCCCTGCAACCTGATTTTTTAATGTAATGTTATAAATATTTTTATTAATATCAATAATATAAATAAATAAAGCAAAGCATTATTGCCTTTAAAGGTAACCCAGAGTTTTACAATATTGATTTATCCTAATTCCTTTTTCCTGCATTAGGCATTTAGGTTGATTTAGAGGTGTAATGATCTAAAACCAGGATGCTTTTCCAGAAGGCTATCAGGGGGTGAGAGGAAGTTCTAAAGTAAAAGAATGACCAAGAGATTTCAGCCCATGAACTACAGCATTGCAGTCGTTTTTGCGATTTTTCATTCCTTGTATGAAGCAGGGAGATGTAAGATAACTTCATTTAGAGTTATAGCTTTGGTTTTATAAAAAGAAAGAATGAGGAAACAATGTAAAACTATATTACCCCAAACCAGCATGTTAAGGAAGGTCAATTGAATCCTACTCWATACAATTTTCACTGGATGCTTGAGGCCTATGGAAATTATGTGGCAGAAGAGGAGAGGCTGGATTGTTTGGGGGTTTCTCTGTTGTGGACTAGATCAGTCAAGGTAGCTGTTGTTTTGAGAAATGATACATTTTGCAGAGCTGTCAGTTTGGCTGCTTCAGACACTAAAATATCAACAATATAGAATTTTGTGGAAATTAACTGGATTTAATTATTTGCTGATTTTCATGGAGAAGAGCTCTTCCTCTATTGCGTAATTGAGTGCTTCCTCCCCACAACACACATGCTCAGCTCCTGGCTTTCTGCTGGCCTTTCCTTCCTCTTCTTTGCCTGGAAACCCTGTGCTAGAAGCAGGTTTAGGGCAAACAGTCAGCCTCAGTCTTCAGTTAAGGACCCACATGTAATGATCAGGCCTCGTGCCCATTTCAGGATGTGAATACCCAACGAGGAGCTGGACAGCCCCTGGTGACTCCATCCGTACGGCCCTCTCTTCAGCCTGCTCATCCAGCGTTACCACAGATGACTACACCGGGTAAGATAGGACTTCTCTGAGGCTCTGTGCTCTTGAATTGGGTCAGCACCAAAATTATCATCACAGTTCCTTAAATAGTTAGACTGCATTGTTTTTGAACGAGCTGGAGCATAACTCTTGTCTCTTGGTCCATGGGTAAGGCATTTCAGACCCAGAGATGTGTTTGGCCTACTTATTAGTGACTTGTGCTGCATTGCATTGTCAGTTTTGGAAGTGTGCACTCAGCTGTTGAGACATCTGCCCATGTGTTATTGTGTACATTCTGTCAGCTGACGGGATCATAGGTCTGAGTCAAATACACAAGAGAACACCCAGTTTCCTTCCACTGGCCCATTGCTGGGACACCGTGGAGTTTGTTTTTGAAGTGAGGAAGTAGTCAAGTCTGAAGCATGGGGGTCTGAAAGGTACTAGTCCACCTTTGTACCAAGAATAAGAGTGGCTAACAGTGAAAATGTCTTGCTTCATCTTAGCCCCTCAGGCATCTGTTTCTGGGCTCCAAGCACCCTCTGCTACCTTAATGCAAGTTGCATCTCTTGATTCCCATTCAACTGTGTCTGGAAATGCCCAGTCCTTTCAGGTAACAACATTTTAAAAATATAGAAATTGTAAGCTGTTATTTTCACAACCTTCTCTTCTCTAAACTGGCCAAAGAATTACCTGCTTACACCTTCTTGTGAAGATTCAGTACAAGAGCAAGCCAAACACCAGTACAGGGCCTGGGCCTACTTGTAGCAAAGGTTCAATCAGTGCACGTGGCAAAGGTGCAATGTATGTTTCCTCTCCTTTTCACTCGTCAAGGGGTGTGTATCCATGCCCTCTGTGTTMTTTTCTGTCAAAGAGTTGGTCGCTAATATTCTGCACAGCGCTCAGCAGAAAGTCTATGGGCTAAGGGTGGAAGCTGTACAGAAAATATTCTTGCCTCTGCTGTCTAGTGAGCCTCCAAAAGTGATGTCTYAAACTAGATTTTCTTCTGTTATCACAGAAGGCAGGGACAACAGCCTGTCTGCTTCTGCTGTTTGCTGGGGTTGTATATAGACCCTTTCTTCACAGCACACTTGAATAAGTAGCCCTGTGACATAGGGACTACTTCCTTGGGATTCTTAATAGAGGGGTGGCATTGGTAGTATCAAAATTGAAAAAAAAAATCCCATTCTCCTCTCAATGGAGAATTACTATCTCACAGAGGAAAAAAAATTTTTTTTTGGTTTAAATAATGGGTGAATAGTCATGGCTATCCCCGAAAATGAGCTGGATTTCTTTTTTTGAGGAAGAATAACTATCCTCATTAAAAAATGGTAGCTGCTGTTTATTGAGGCATTTGATTTACCAGCTGTTAGGAACTTTACCTGTATCACTTCATTTAGTCCACATAACAACCTTGTAAAGTCATATTATTATCTTCATCTCTCAGCTGAGGTTTAGAGGAAAACGAGAGCTCTTGGTCACACAGATGAGCATCAGAATCTAGTAGGGGAGAGGCATCCTTTGGAAGTTGGCTGATTTGGTTTGGAATTTCAGTGAATACTTCTTTTTCTTCAACGAAAACTAAAAAGAGCTTGCTTAGTTTTAAAATTTGTTAAGCAATAGGCCTGAAGGCGGGGAAAGAATTCCTACTTTCTTCAATCATCACAGAGGACTCGGTGATGACCCAGGATACTCACCTCTCAATTTGTGGATGGAGGCTACTGGGTTCCATAGACAGCTCTGCTGCAATTCTTGCCCACTGTCTAAACTTGATTGCATTCATTTCCAGCTTCAATAAGTTTGAGTCTCCTCTCAGCTTATCTTTATTCAATCATAGGAAATTGTAAGGAAAAAAAGAAGACATGAATGTTTTATAAAGCGACAGTAACTTGGCCCTTTCTCAGCCCTGTGCAGGTATGCAAGCTTACACATATCCCCAGGCATCCTCAGTCACCTCCCAGCTGCAGCCTGTTCGACCCTTGTATCCTGCACCACTGTCCCAGGTTCCCCACTTTCAAGGTAGGGAGCTGTTTCCTGTGTCTCATCTTCTGCCCCACCATGCTCCATGTTCTCCTTGTTTGCATTCTGTTTTCATTTTCACTCCAACAGCCTTCTACCCTTTCTTTTCTCTTCCCTTTTTAGCAGCTTTGTTGAGGTGTTATTTATATACCATGCAATTCATTTATTTTAAGTGTACAATTTAAAGATTTTTTGAGAATGTTTTCAGAGTTGTGCATCTATCACCACAGTCTTCTATTATTATTATTATTATTATTATGCCCTGGGTTCAATCCCCAGCACCACAAAAAAAAATATATATATATATATTTTAGTTGTAGATGGACATAATACTGTATTTATTTTTATGTGGTACTGGGGATTGAACCCAGTGCCTTTCATGTGCCAGGAAGAGCCACAACCCCAGCCCTACCCGCCCAATTCACTTTTTGAACATTACCTTCATCTCCAGAAAGTCCCCTCAGGCCCACTTCCTGTGTTTTTTTCTTGCATTTTCTCCCACCAGCCCTTCTAATTGCTGTTAGAGTGGCTAGAGTTTGTAGAAAACAGTAAAAGAGCAAACACAGGAGGAAACGGGGAGAAAGCATGATGCCTGCTTGTGGGTGTTCAGTAACTCAAGTGAAACCTACTTCGGTAACTTTTAAATTATCAAAATAATATACTTTTAGCCAGCCATGGTCATGCACACCTGTAATCCCCATGGCTCCAAAGTCTGTGACCGGAGGATCGAAAGTTCAAAGCCAACCTCAGCAACTTAGTGAGGTCCTCAGCAACTGAGTGAGGTCCTAAGCAATTCAGTAAAATCTTGTTTCTAAGTAAAATATATATTAAAAAGGGCTGGGGATGTGGCTCAGTGGTTAAGCACCCCTGGGATCAATCCCTGGTACAAAAAATATATATGTGTACACACACACACACACACACACACACACACACACACATATACTTTTATAAAAATGTCAAACAGTACAAAAAGGTATTAAGTAAAAAGTTACTGTTCTTTCCAATCATTAAATCCCCTGGCTATAGGAAACCAATGTTAACTAACAGTTACTTGGGTAACTTTTCAGGTATTTTGTGTGTATGTACAGGTGTGGGTGTCTTGTGTGAACAAATAAAACACAACGAACTATAAACAGATGTGATGGTATCTTACCCTGTTCTTCAGTTTGTCTTTTTTTTTTTTTTGTCTCTACTGGGGATTGGACCTTATAGCTATACCTGAGCTATATTCCCAGTCCTTTTTTTGTGTGACTGGGTCTCACTAAGTTGCTGAGGCTTGCCTCCAACTTATTTGTGATCCTCCTGCTTTAGCCTCAAGAAGTAGCTGGAATTATAGGCATATGTCATCATGTCCCACTGCCATTTGTCTTTTGCCTAGTTAGCATCTGGGTATTAAGACAGTGGTAGGAGGAAGCAAATATATCCTGCAGTATAACTTGTGATTCCAGAATTGTAAGAGCTTCCTGGGTACAGATCTTGTCTGGGAGCCATTTCCCTTCTCCATATGGGAAACCCTTTTTCACATGTCAAAACTGTCATCTCCTCTATGAAGCCTTCTCTGATGGTATTCACCTCTCTTCTTCAGGGACACAAGCAAGATTATTACCAAAGGATAATCTTGCTTTTTAAAGTGCACTTTTGTACATTGTATATAGTCCATTTTTTTTTTTTTTTGCATTGAAAGAACTCTGTTATAATGATTTGGTTACATGCTTGTCTCCCCATAAGTTTCTTTTGGGCTTCTTTATGTCTGTTTAGGATCAGGTGACATGGCTTCATTTCTTATGACCGAAGCCCGGCAACATAACACTGAGATTCGAATGGCAGTAAGCAAAGTGGCTGATAAAGTGGATCATCTCATGACTAAGGTGACCAAATCAGGGTTGAGGTTAGGTTGAAAGTGGGGGTACAAGTGGGGTATAAACAGGGAGTAACCAGAGCTGTAGGTAAATTTTCCTGTATTCATGGTAGATACTAGTTCTTTTCCTGGAAGGATAATTATCTTTATTTGGGATCCAGTTAGCAGGAAAAACTTGTTCACATTTAAGGTTATCTCAGAAACATGTTCAAAAAAGTGGTGAGATCTTGGGTAACTTATATTTCTCTATTTTTAGCATTCTGATGCGGTCTTTCTGGCATTTTTTAGGTTGAAGAGTTACAGAAGCATGGTGCTGGCAATTCCATGCTTATTCCCAGCCTGTCAGTGACGATGGAAACAAGCATGATCATGAGCAACATTCAGAGAATCGTTCAGGTGAGGGTGCTTGGGAACAAACACTCCTGGAGGTCCCGCCCATGCTCTCTCCCAAGATATGCTGTCTAAAACCTGCACCCCAGCATGCAATAAGTGCTACACTGGTTTAGGAAACTCTGGAGAATCCATTGTGGCTTAATTTGGTCCAAGTGACTTCTACTTTCTAAGATTCAAAAGGAAACAATGCTTTTGGCCCCATTTCAGAATTTTCTTCATTTTTAGTCATTTATAATCTAAACCATTTGAGTTATTTGTATACATGGATATAATTTGATGTGTTCTTTTAAATATTAGTATGTCTGAGTGGATATGGGTTCTAGCTTTTCATCTCAAAATGTGTCATCAATGTCACCTGTCTGTTCAGGGTGATTCCCTTTTACCGGGGCACTTTTCTTATATTTACCTTGTACATCATACATTTTGAATGTAGGAAAATGAAAGATTGAAGCAAGAGCTACTTGAGAGGAGCAGTCGGATAGAAGAACAGAATGACAAGATTAGTGAACTAATTGAACGGAATCAGAGGTAATGACAGGTACGGGGCCTGGCTAGGATGGACAAAAGGATTTAATGTATAAACGCCCAATTTAATACACATGTTTATTTAGGACAGTATTTTTGGTAATGCTGGCTGGGGACTGAACTCAGGGCCTTGCTCTTGCTATGCACACACTGCAGCACTGACCCACACCCCCAGCCTTATTTTTTCTATTTGTTTCCTGCCTGTCCTATGGATTATTGCCAGTTTTCTTTTTCAATAGAAAGAACTCAGTGGGCTCTGAGGTAAATAAAACAGACCTGTTTGGCTTCTGGGCTCTGCCCTCATTTATTGTGTAACTTTGGGCATTTTGTTTATTCTTGTGGGCCCTGGTTTCCTCATCTGTAAAGTGGTGTTAATATTTGGAAAACTCTGACGTCAACTTTTCTCTCTTCCATGCAGGCTGACTCTGTTTTATCAACCAGAACTGAACCAGTACCTCACTGATTCCCTTAAAAAAGCCAAGCATTTTATAATTTTTATGGATCCTTCTGAGGATTGGTGGAGGGGGGGCTAGGAGAATATGTTACAACACAGCATTTCACTTAAAAAAAAAAATCCTCCTATATTTCTCTTTTCCAGTGTTGCTTGCTGGGTTGGAAGCAAGTGCCAGGGTTGGAAGAGTGCCTTTCTTTTCTTCTCTTTCTTGCAGCCTCCTTATCTTGTCTCTTTCTGTCCTCATTCCCCATTTCTGCATACTCTTCAAATTCCTCTCCTCTTCATTATACAGAGCAAGTCACCTCTGGCCCAATTTGTTGCTGCCTCCAACCAATTACTGCAGATCTAAGGAAAATAAAATGCGTCATATTGTTTATGATGAAGGCGCAGAGCAGTGTTGTAAGGACTGAATGTGCTTTGGGTTGTGCCTGGCATACGTTCAGTGCTTCATAAATGTTTCCTTTTCCTTATTTCTATCACAGGTATGTTGAGCAGAGTAACCTGATGATGGAGAAGAGGAACAACTCACTTCAAACAGCCACAGAAAACACACAGGCAAGGGTATTGCATGCTGAACAAGAGAAGGTAAATTAACTGAGCAGAGAAAAGCCCAGTTTGGGATGTGTTGAGCTGAGGAGTGGCCCAGAGTAGGTATTTACCAGGCGGCTTCTCAGTAGAATATTCGCCATTTTGGGGAAGAGAACTAAAAATCTTCCAACAGATTATCATACAGTCATCATCTGCATTTCTGTTTTATAATGTGCTTTGCAATAAGTTGACTCAGAAACAGTTATTGGCCAGGTGGTGACAGATGCCTATTGTCCCAGCTGCTTGGGAGGCTGGCCTTGAGCTCAGGAGTTTGAGGCCTGCCTAGACAACATAGCAAGATCCTGTCTCAAACAAAACAAAACAAAAAAACAATCACTTCTTAGTGATTTGATTAAGGTAAGCATTACACAACTTGTTAAAAACTAAATTTAAGCCGGGCATGGTGGCTCATACCTGTAATCCCAGTTACTCAGGAGGCTGAGGCAGTGGGGTCACAAATTCAAGGCCAGCAACTTGGCAACTTAGTGACTGGGATGAAGCTCAATGGCAAAACATTCTGGGTTCAATCCTTGGTGCCAAAAAGAGAGAAAGAAAAGACAGTGGGGAGGTAAGGAGGGAGAGGGAGGGAGGAGGAGAGAAGAGGGAGAGAGAGAAAGAGACTAAATTTATTCTTTAAAGGATCAACAGAAAATTCCTATAATGCCAGGTAACAAATGTGTAGGTGGTATTTAATGGATTGGAGACTGTCTACTTGCTCCTTCCTGTGTGTTCAGCTTGCTCCTTCCTCTCATTTTGCATTGCAAAGTATTGCTGTGACTTCACTTCTTTCAGAATGAGGAATTTTGACTTGTTTCTGGAGTAGCATGGAGGACCCTAGTTGGTCTTGGGTTGGAATCGACTGATTCTGGGACCCAGCCTCTTTGCTCCAGTGACACATTTTATCCTTCTTATTTGGGACATCACTTCTATGCTAGGAGACTAGGAGAGCTCAGCCCCCCCCCCCCTTTTTTTTCTATTTTTCTCACAGGTTTTAAGAAGTAAGTTCATATTTATATTTCAGTTTTCCTTAAAAATATGAAATGCTGGGAATGCACTTTATAACTTGTGGAGTTCACTCACTTTCTCGTATTTTGATAATGATAAAGATTCCTTCATTAATGTCTTATGCTAATCTTTGTGTGTGCTTAGCCACAGTACCCAGGTCTTTGACCCCTCCTCCTCAGATAAGCAGTGCCTTGCCCTGCACAGCCCTATCCAGTTCGGGTGCTCCTTTGCTACCTCCCTTGTTTGCTGTGGCTGACTGTTAATGCCTAGATCCAGTGGGCAACCTGTGGCATTCATATCAGGTGGTACTGGAATCACTTCACCTTGTGCTTTGTACTGTTTCTCCTTTCACTGCTTTTATTTTTTATTTCCCTTCTTCCTTCCATTTTTTTATTTTCTTTTTTTACTCCTCCTTTAGGCCCAATATGGACATCCAAAATATCTTGTTTGTCTTCACTATTACTGTTCAGGGCAAAAATGGTTACTATAACTTGTTCTAGAAAAATGGCTCTCCAGTATGCTGGCTGCTGCAGAATCACTTGGGGAGCTTTATTAGAATGACATATTCTTAAGACCTACCTCCAGAAATTCTAATTTAGCATATCCAGCCAAGATTGAACTTTTTTAAAAAAGAGTTATCTATAACTTTTCTACCCAGGTCAGGATTCACTTCTTTTGTCACAGACTCTGGAAGTGGTAGCTGCATAAATTTGGTTTTGGTTTTTGTTTGTTTTTTGGTATTAGGGATTGACTCCAGTGTCACTTTACCACTGAGCTGTATCTTCAGGACCCTTTTTATTTGTTCATTTTTTAAAAGTTTTGAGATGAGGTCTCACTAATTTTGCTTAGGTCCTTGCTAAATTGCTGAGTCTGGCCTCAAACTTATGATCCTCCTGCCTCAGCCTCCCAAGTTGCTGGGATTACAGGTGTGCTCCACTGCACATGGCTTGCTTTTGTTTTTGTTTTTCAAGATCTCACTATGTTGCCCTCACTGATGTCAAACAGACTCATGGGGTCAAGTGATCCTTTTGCCTCAGCTTCCCAAGTAGTTGGGATTACAGGCATGTGCCCTCACACCTGGCTTCTGGACTGCCTTTGCTTTTCAGAATTCAACTCATGGGACTGGGACTGGGGTGGTAGAGAGCGCTTGCCTAGCACATTCGAGGTCCTGGGTTTGATTCTCAGCACCACATAAAAATAAATAAAGGTATTGTGTCCAAATATTACTAAAAAAAAATTCAACACACGACTCACGACTCATATTGAACATCAGTTTTGTGTGTGTGTGTGTGTGTGTGTGTGTGTGTATCTGCAAAAACAGGTAGTAGGCCAGTTTGACTTACAGGTCACACATAGTCCTCTGAGCCCTGAATAAGCTTGTTAATCTGCCCAAGTGTTTTCATGTTGCTAAACCTCAAAGATGTCTGGGACAGTGTATTGAACCCAGTAAATGTCTATTTATAGTAGCAAAAACAGTAGTAGTCATAACAACAGGGGGCACAGCTAACACCTGGCAAACATCCACTAGGCTCTAGGTCCCATACTTTACTCGGATGTATTTGAGGGAATCTCCTGAGCTAAGTGTCATTGTTCTTGATGATTAGGGTATCTGACTAGGGTTTCAGGTACCACAGGCTTCTCATGGTCACTATTATTTCAGTGAAACTGAATCAAAGTCTTGATTCACCCGTTTTTTTTTTTCTTTTAATTGAGTCACCCAGCAATCTCTCCTCTTAAACAGAGATAATCAATTTCCTTTCACCCCTGGATGCAGTTCTCTACCTTCAAACACAGCTCAAAAGATATGGTTAAGTGATCAATGAATAAATACATTATTTTTCTCTATAGTAGAGTTCACGTAAAACATGGAATAATGGTTAAAACCAGAAGACCTATTGCAGGTCTTCTAGTTAATTCATCTTAGTTACAAGGGGACAAACTGAGGCCCAGAGAGGGTAAGATTTGTTCAGGATCTCCCTCCCAGTCAGTTATGTCGTTTTTCCTATGCCAGATTGCCCTCTCTCTCCAGGACTGTTTTCCTCTTCTAACTTGAATGCTTTTCTACTGTTTTTCTCAGCTCTTGGTTCTTGCTGTCATTTCTCTTTCCCAGCTCTCCACACCAGCAGCAGAATTTGGTCCAGGGTGGGAATCAGGGAGCCATCCCATCCACTGCGTAGGTGTCTGTTGTTTTCCTTTCTCACTTGATATTGCTTCTCCTGACATTTTTAAAAGTGTAATTATATATACAATGTGTTAGTCAGCTTTTTGTTTCTGCAACCAAAATACCTGGCAAGAACAACTTAGAAGAAGAGAAGTTTGTTTTGGCTCATGGTTTCAGAGGTTCAGTCCATGGTTGGCCAACTACATCTCTCCGGCCCCAAGTGAGGCAGAATGATATGGCAGAGAGTGTGGCAGAGGAGAGCTGTTCCAATCATGGCAGCTAGGAAGCAAGGGGAAGTGGGGAGGCCAGGGGAGAGGCTGCAAGGAAGATGCACCCTTCCAGGACATTCCCCCAATGACCCACCTCCTTCAGCCATGCCCCACCTGCCTGTAGTTATAACCCAGTTAGTCCATTCAAACTGGGATGGACTGGTTAGGTCACAGGTCTCATGATCTAATCTTGCCTTAACACAGGAACTTTTGGGAATGCCTGATACTCAAACCATAATATGTAAATACACACAACACACACACACACACACACACACAATACATACGCAGGTATCTGCATATACTTTTTGTCTAATAATAAAAGTTGCATCTGTTTATTCCAGAAAACTTAGGAAATATAGATAAGCAAATATAAAAGGTGAATCACTCATAATCCTTCCACTCAAACATAACCATTATTAATATATTATAGTTCTCTTTGTGAATTTGCATATGTTTTTGGGTGAAAGTATTAATTTTTTTGTTTCTAGTAGGCTTTTCTAGCTAAAGACCTGAGAGAAAAAAAGTATTTGCATGACCTTCCACTCTGCTTGTCCTTTGGCAAGACAGCAACTATCCATTCCCTGGCCTCTTTTCTGAAATTTGTCCCTCCCACGGGTCCTAGCTGCTGCAAGGTCTTGTGAGAGTGATACTTGCTCTGATATTAGTGAACTCTTTGAGCCATGAATAGATGCAAAGCCTCTGGACTCTGTGTCTCTTCAGTTTTCATGGGCCAGCAAGTGAAACTTAATTGTACATGCTGCAAATGAAAACAACTCTTACATCTGGGAGTTCTAGATGCCATTGTCATCTGTGGGTTTTTTTTCCTTCTCCTATAAAAAAAAATTCTTTGTAGTTATGGTACAATACCAGGATCCATCTTGACATAATCACCAAAGCATGGAACCCAACCTGCTCTGATTCAGTCCTCCCTCCACTCCACCAATCCCTTTTGAATCCATTTCTTGAATCCATTTACAGTTTACTTTTTTTGTTTTTAATTAGTGTCCTGTGGATACACCCGATGCTGGACCCACCCTGCCACATCCATGCACACACTAAAGTTCAGTCATCATTCCACTGCTCTTCCCTTTTCCCATCTCTTCTTCCCTCCTCATCTACTCTACTGGTCTTTCCTCTGTTTTGATGAAATTCCTTCCCCCCCCTTTTTTTTCCTTTTTATTTCTTATTTTTTTATCTTTTTAATCTCTCCTCCTTCCCATTTTGGATTAGCTTCTTTCTACATTTGACCTTCAACTTTTTGGGACTGGCCTATTTCACTTAGCATTGTCTCAGTTCCATCCATTTACCAGCAAATGTCATAATGTCATTTTTCTTCATGGCTGAGTTTTACAGGTTGAGTTTTACATGGCTTCCAAAAAGCAAAATTAAGTATCTTGAGCTTACTCTAAAGGTTTTATGTGCTCTGAAATGCTCATTCATAGCCTTTTAAAATTTCATGTACAGTTTTGTTTTATTTCCCTTGCCTTTAGGAAAGTCAGAATGTCAGATTTTAAATGGGAGCTAGAAAGCTGGTAAAGATTTTGGGATAAGTCAAGGAATAAGCACTTTTAAAACAGGTGGGCACAGTGAACACCGAAAGAAGGCACAAATGATAGTAAGAAAGTAGACAACTGCAAAAATGTGTATAAAGTGTAGTAACATAGGAGTAGTAATAGTGGTAGCAATATAATATTATGAGAGAGATGGTCCAATAGAAAACATGTGCAGAAATGCATAGATGTACAGAAATCAAGACTGGTTGCCCAAGATCAACCACTCACCGCCTTTCATGCCATCTGATGTACCCTGTATGTAGTAAGAACACATCAGTTCAGGTGAAGTGATGTGGTATCTGTCCTTTGTTGGCTGTTTCTTTTTTATTGACCTTCCTTTTTATCATCATTGTTATCATCAACCTTAATATTCAGAATAGCATTAGAGAGTTTTCCAGGATGGTCATTTCCATTTCATCATCATTGTTATCATCAACCTTAATATTCAGAATAGCATTAGAGAGTTTTCCAGGATGGTCATTTCCATTTCATCACATGTTGCTCAAGAGTATTTAGATTCTTTATAGGCTTGGTCCATGTTTGGCTAATTAATATAGAGCCCCATTTAAAATACTTGAAGAAGTCAGGGAAGTTAAAGTGTTCCTAGGAGGAATTGTAGACTCAAAAGTTGAATGCTTTTGAAGGTATTCAATTTAGATTTTAAAAATATCCTTTTCTTTCTAAGAAAATGCATGTTCATCCTAGAAAAGTTAGATAATAGCATGAACACCATTTTTCATCTTTCAGATTTGTAGAAATTCAAATTTTTGACAAGGTTTGGTGAGACGGGTAAGCATGTAGAGTGGCTCATGAAGGGAAACTGATGATATTGTACAAAATTATAACAGTATTTATTCTATGATCTAGCAGTTCTGCATCTGGGAATCCCCTAAAGGCACTCCTGTACCCAAATGAAATGACATGTGTCCAGGATTATTCATTGGTATCTTGTGTAATGGGAAAAGACTGGAAACAACCAAGTGTCCTGCAGTAGTGAATAAACTACAGTATATTCACATGATAGAATACCATACAGATATTTTTTTAAAAAAAGAAAAATGAGGGCTGGGTTTGTGGCTCAGTGGTGGAGTACTTTCCTAGCATGTGTGAGGCACTGGGTTTGAGCTGCACATAAATAAATAAATAAAATAAAGGTCTATTGACAACTTAAATTTAAAAAAAAAAAAAGACAAAGGAGAAAGATCTATATGTACTAGTAGAGAATATATGTAGTTTGCCCTCTCTTTTGTATGAAAAAAGGAGGAAAGAATCATATTAGTTTTTGTAAAAAGAGTTACTTTACACAAAGGGGAAAGATGCAAAATAAATTTTTATATTTTACCCTTGCATAGCAAAGCAGAAGTGAATAGGGATAGGAAGACTTCTTGTTGTTTACTTTTTATATCTTTTAAAATTTTGATCAGCAGAAACATTAAATTTTCAAAAGAATTACTAATGAAATATCTTTTCAAGAGACTCATTTATAAAATATATCATCTGATAAATAAGAAGAAAATATAAAACACCCATCATTTTATCTAGATTAACTGAAAAACATTTTATTCTGGCACTGTTCTTCACATGAATAAGTAAGTGTTCATTTTATAAAAACAGAATTATATCTAACATACTATTTGAGAATCTACTTTTTCATTTAACAGTAGATTGTAACTGTATTCCATGCCGTCAAGTATTCTTTTCAAACACCATTTTTAATAGCCTCATACAGAATGGATATATCATAATTTGCTTAATCAAGTTTGTTTTCAGCAATTTATGTTAGATTTCCATTCCTTTACAACTTTAAACAATGTTGCATTGAACAGCTTTAGAGCAAAATTTTTGTAATTTTTTTTTTTTTTTGATACCAAGGATTGAACTCAGGGGTGTTTAACTACCAAGCCACATCCCCAGCCCTTTTTTGTAGTGTATTTAGAGACAGGGTCTCGCCGAGGTGCTTAGGGCCTCACTATATTGCTGAGGCTGGCTTTGAACTCGCAGTCCTCCTGCCTTAGCCTCTCAAGACACTGGGATTACAGTCCTGTGCCACCATGCCCTGCCTTGGTGATATTTTTTAAGAGCAAATTTCTGTAAGAGAATTGAGTCAGAGACTGCATATTTTTAAGTCTTGATTTGGGCATAAAGCAGGTTGAGGGTAGCCTTAGCTCCCTTCCTTTCTACAGCTTAATCAGCCTAGTCCCGTGAGGTTAGTCATTTCTTAAGGAGACAAAAAACACCTGCGTTTTAAGTGACATCATCCTTTGTTACTGTTCAGGCTAAGGTGACAGAAGAGTTAGCAGCAGCCACTGCACAGGTCTCTCACCTGCAGCTGAAAATGACTACACATCAAAAGAAGGAAACAGAGCTGCAGATGCAGCTGGCAGAAAGCTCAAAGGAGGCCGGTCTACTTCGGGGCCAGCTTGCCAAACTGCAGGCAGAGCTCTCAGGTATGTTCTTGGCCGGGGATGCTGGCACTATTTGCCACTTAAACTTAAGAAATGGAACTCTTTCCTTCCTCTCAGTCCTGTTAACATAATGCTTAGGAGATTTGCGAAGGACTGAGTCCATAATCGAGGTAAAGTATATGACCTACATGATTATTTTACATAAAGGACAACAGAATAGATTAATAAATTAATAGAGTCAATCCGACTCTATTAATTTGGAATTGATCAGTTGTCACTGTTCCCCTTTGTTTGAGGAAGTGTTGCTTCAACAACTTTGGTGCTTATACTGGTGCTCATATGCCGAGAAGAATTAATGTGTCTTTTAAATTCATGACTCAGTGGACATTTAAGAAAGATGTGCTTCCTGTTTTAGTTCCTCCTTCCTAGAGGAGGGTTGCAACTCTTCAGCCTGACATTTAACGACCCTCTGTGTGGCTCGTCTTCCGTTATCTTGCCCAGTTCATCCTTGTCCTACCGTATACCCCAGCATGCTGGCTATTTTCAGCTCATTCCATCTTGCTCTTTATTCATGCTGTTCTCTGGGCCTGGCTTGCCCACCATCAGTATTTGCCTCCAGTCCTCTTCTCTTCTGCCTCTTTTGGAATATTTTCCTTTAAAATCTTTTAACTCTTAATGCATTATTATAACCATTTTCATAGTTAGCTTTTGATAAGTACCACTTATATGTCTGTTCTCCCATCCAGAATGCAAGCCCCTAGAGGGCAAAGATGGTGTTTTGTTCATTTTTGTAAAGTTCTTTCCTCAAGAAAGCGTTAGTTCAGTGCCTGGCACAAAAGTAGTGCACAGGACATGGTGATCGGATAGATTTGTGAAGATCAGCACATTGACACATCTACCTTGGTGTATAGAAAGCAGTGTGGAATGCACAGATGGGACTGCCAGGCAACAGGTAGCTGGAACCACAGCAGAGTTGGATGGAAGCACAGAACACTGCCTAAAAGATAGAAAGCACCGGTGTCAGTTGGCAAAGCGATACCTTGAAGATACATCCCTTCCATTTTAGAGCATCACCAGGGCCCAGTAAAGCAAATATGTTAGACAATCTGAGATTTGAATATCATACAAATATCTCATTTCTGTTTTTGTGGTGCTTGCCCTTTGACCATTTCCCCAGGAGCTGTAGAGTCTCAGAAGTTTTTCAAAGAGAGAAATTTTGGTGTAATAAACTTAAAAAATATCCAAAAGCCTTACTTGAGAAGGGATGTTTTAAAAGCAAACTTTTGGTGGAGTGTCCTACCGGGAAAGTTCAGACTTTTTTACCTAGGCAATGAGAAGCAGCTTGAACAGATATTAAACAAACATCTGTCCAGTGTGGTAAGATGGTGACAGAAATGGAATTATAGGACTGATCAGTTTTGAAGGTCGTCCCTGACTAGAACATTTCTTTTCCATTCTACATCTGTAGAAGGTGAGATAATATATATAGAGAGAATATATTTATATATATATATTTTATATATATATATATATATATAGAGAGAGAGAGAGAGAGAGGGGGGGGGGRGAGGGAGAGAGAGAGATAGAGGTAGATATATCTCGCTCCAGGTGAATGTGGATTGGTGGCTTRATAATTCATATCACAGGTAAGTGCGGTAATGCTGAGGTGTTAGAGGAGGCTGCTTGTGTGGTGGGATGGGGAGACCAAAGCCTGCAGCTTCGAAAGAAGTACTGGAATGCCACATCACCCACTGTGGCTCAGGGTCCGCAGCCAGGTATCTCTGCTCTTACATTCCAGAGCTCCAGGAAACCTCAGAGCAAGCACAGTCCAAATTCAAAAGTGAAAAGCAGAACCGGAGGCAACTGGAACTCAAGGTGACCTCCCTGGAGGAGGAGTTGACTGATTTACGAGCTGAGAAAGAGTCCCTGGAAAAGGTAGGTTCCAAAAGCCAAGTTTCTCTCTTGTGTCCAGGTGGCCAGGATGAACTATTTATCTGTTTTTATTTTCCTTTTAAAAACTATAATAGTTTGTATCCAATAGAACAAGTACATTAATACAGAAAAGTATAAAATAAAAAATTTGCCTTTCTCATCTCATGTGTTATATGTAACAGCTATAAACAATGTGTGATCCTGCCACATTGTTTTCTGTATGCATAAAACATACATACTCACTTAAACATACATATATAGGTAGCATTTAAAATAAGAGCTTATGTTCAATGCTTTCTAAGAAAGTATTGTGGACATTGTGCTACATGAGAATGAGATCTTTTTCATTCTATTTAAACTAACACATAGTAAAACTACCACATAGTAGTTACTGTGAGACTGTCCCACAATGTATATGATTATTTACTATCAGCAAATGTATGTTTCTGTTTTTTCACTATTTTAAGCTTCTGTGCATATCCTCCTACTGTATAACTACTAACTACCTTTGCGAATTTACGTGGGTGTTCTTGAAGGATAAATTGCTTGAATTAGAATATGGGATCAGTAGGAATGTGGCACATCCAAATATTTTTTATCAGAAAACAGTATGCTGCGAACTCTTCCAGCCCTAAGTGAGTGAGCCCATTTCTTCATATTCCTTCCAACTCTGCAGACACCACTTTATCTAATCTTTTATTAGCCTCACAGGTGGAATATACCATCTTGTTTGCTCTGTATTTTTATTAATAGCAAAGCTTTCATATATTTATACCTATTTGCATTTCTTCTGTTAATTCTCTTTTTAATATCCTTCATTTTACCATCTTTCCTATTAGAACATTACTTTGATTTGTAAATCCTATTAAGGGTGTCAATTCTTTGTCAGTCAAAATATTACAAACATTTTTCCAGTTTGTTCTCTTTTAACTTTGTTTATTCCTTATCTTTTGTTAGTTAAAATTGTAATATCAGGGAACTACTAGGCCCACTGAACAAAATGGAAAGATTTCTATCTCATATTGTGTTCTAGAACAATCTAACTATAGAAGGAAAAAAGTCTTTTCCCGAGGTACCAGTAAAGCCACTAGTAAGTTTGTTTTGGCCCATTTCCTTTTTAGGGAAAAGATCTTGGCCTATGTTTACAATTTCTTCTATGATTTTTCAGTTTAGGCATTTTAAAAAACTGTTTCTTTTGATTTTTTGACTGTTTTCAGCTTTTCCTTGTTATAAACACTACTATAGTCTTTATGAACATGACTTACTGCAACTTTAAGATAAAATGAAATTTGTGGAATTTCTGGATATGCATATTTTTGAAAACTTTTCCTTGAATTGCCATCTAAAGAGCATAAACATTTATTTTCTCATGGGCAAGGTGTGAGAAGTCTGCTTTCCTATACTCTCAATAGTTTAAATAGAATGAGAAAGATTTCATTCCTATGTAGCACAATGTCCACAATACTTTCTTAGAAAGCATTGAACATAAGCTCCTAATTAAATGCCACCCATAAATATGTATGTTTAAGTGAGTATGTATGTTTTATGCATACAGAAAACAATGTGGCAGGATCACACATTGTTTCTAACTGTTAGGATATTCCCTAATGCTTGATAGAGTGGTAGATAAAACTCTTGTTTGCCTTCTCATCACAATTTTTCTCTCAGTAGCTAAGAATGTTAAATATTAAGGGGAAAAACTAAACTAAAAAATGAACAATTTTCAGACTCATCAAGGTCAAGAGCACCTTCCCTATCCCCACTTATCCTGTGTTAACTGGATAGAGCTGATGGTGTTTTTCTTTTTCCCAAGAACCTCTCAGAAAGGAAAAAAAAGTCAGCTCAAGAGCGCTGCCAGGCCGAGGAGGAGATGGATGAGATTCGCAAGTCGCACCAGGAGGAACTGGACAAACTTCGACAGCTCTTGAAAAAGGCCAGAGTGTCCACAGACCAAGCAGCTGCAGAGCAGGTAGTGGGAAGCAGAAGCACTGGGAAAGAAAAGGAAGGTGTGAGGACTCGAAGAAAAGCTCTTAGTTTCTTCCCTATTCTCTATGATGAACTTCTCACAGTTGTTATTCTCACCTTGAAGATAATCCAGATATATGCAAGAAAGCCAGGTTTAAATGTAGAATGTTCTTTTTCTTTTTTAAAAATATTTTTAGTTGTAGATGGACACAATACCTTTATTTTATTTATTTTTATGTGGTGCTAATGATTGAACCCAGCGCCTCATAAATGTAACACAAGTACTCCACCACTGAGATAAAACCCCAGCCCCTGTACTTTCCTGTTTTATTTTATTTTATTTATTATTATTATTATTATTATATTTTTAACAGGGATTGAACTCAGGGGCGCTTAACCACTGAGCCACATCTCCAGCTCTTTTTTAAATTTTTTATTTTGAGAAGAGCCTCAGTAAGTTGCTTAGGGCCTCGCTGAGGCTGACTTTGAATTTACCATTCTTTTGCCTCAACCTCCCAATCTCTGGGGTTACAGGCATGCACTACTGAACTCAGCTTCTTTCCTTCTTTCCCGTTTAGTTAATATATAAATATGTAATTAAAACATGAAAAAAAAAACTACAAAAAAATTCCCAGCATGCAAAGTTCTCAAGTGCCAGATGTCATCCTTCAGGCACATTATTATCCTTGAAAAAAAACGGGATTTATTTAGGTAACCAGGAAGGGAAACCAGGGATAGTGGCAGGACAAGCTGATCTCTAGTCCCTTTGACATTTACATTTCTCACTGCATTTTTAAAATCTGTATGTGCATATCTCTCTAACTAGAATGTATTGGTGCCCTCAATTTGATAATGTCTGAAAATGGCAAAAAAAAAAAAAAAAAAAAAAGAGTTTCTGAACCTATTAAGTTCAGGGTCCAAACCCTGAAAAGTAATGACTGCATTATGGCCCTGCCTCCCAGGGACCTGTCTGGACAGTCACACCTTTGTCTGGTTGGAGTACCTTTTGGAGTCCTGACAACCAGTGACATCTGCCTTCCTCCATTTAAAAAGTACATTTATTTTAAAAGTAATTATAGTCTTGACTGGGCATGGTGGTACATGCCTGTAATCCTAGTACTCTGGAGGCTGAGGTAGAAGGATCACAAGTTCAAGTCCAGGCTCAGCAGTTAGTGAGGCCTTCAGCAACTTAGTAAGACCCTGCCTCAAAATTAAAAAAAGAAAGAAAAAAGAGTGGGGGTCTAGGGATATAGTTCATTGGTATAGCACCCCTGAATTCAGTCACCAGTGCAAAAAAAAAAAAGGAATAAAGGTCTTTCAAACAGTTGTTTCTTGATGAAGTCTATTTGGTGTAGTCTTTAACTTTATGGAGGATGGACTTCCCTTGGTTCAGTGGGGACCTCCAGGGCTTGGTCATTGCTTTTTCTTGGCAGCTGTCTCTGCAGGCTGATCTACAAACCCAGTGGGAAGCAAAGTGTGAGCATCTGTTGGCCTCCGCAAAGGAAGAGCACCTGCAGCAGTACCAGGAAGTGTGCGCACAGAGGGATGCCCACCAGCAGAAGCTAACACGCCTTCAAGAAAAGGTAGCTGCTTTCCCTGGGCCAGGGCGCTGAAGCAGCTCAGTTAACTGGAGGCCAGCAGGCTTTTAAGTCCTGTCAGTCCTTTTGGATATTAATAGAAAACAAAACCATGTGAGGGTAACTCTCCAGTTTTACAGTTATTTTTTACATACTTATATGAGGTGACAGGTTAGTGACATGAAAAAAGAAAAACAGCACTAGTGTTCTAAAACATGTTTCCCATTATTATTTGATCCTTCATTTTTTTAAAGCAAATATTTATTGAGTATCAGTTGTGTCATAGCCACTATGTTAGAGAAAGGGCATGCAAAGAATTTTACCCTCAAGACTCTCATAGTCAAGATAGAGAAACAAAGACATGCATTAAGTGTCATGAGGCCCAGAAGAGGAAGAGCTTGGGGATCTGGCAGGCTTTCCAGAGGAGAAGACCTTTGAGTAGAGCCAAGAACTATTAGATGTGGTAAGGCAGAGAAGGAAGCGGGACATCCTGGGCAAAGGCACCGAGATGGGATGGAGCTTGGATTGCAAGGCATGAAAACGAGAGAGATAGGGTCATGGTCTGAAAGTCCCCCATCTGGAGGTCAGTTTTTTTCCCTTGAGTATCTGGTCTAAAGCCTTTGACTCAAGAGATTTTGGAGGCCATCCTATAGGTGAATAGGCTGTTCCTAATGCTGAGAGTTTATGTGTATATGCCTGGAGTTATTACCACCTCCTCTCTGTTTTCGTTATATTCTTTGACCTGATTAGGAGGTCAAGTGACCTTGCTGGGAAAATTATGAGTGATAAAGAAATAAAATGCTCTGCATCAGTAAATGGGGGGTGGGGTGGCAGGGGACAGGGGACAAGGGTGCTCCCAGCAGACCTATGTTAGGTGAAGACATGGTGCTTTGGATGGTTCACCTCTACTTGTGTTTCCTGACTTTCACATGGTAGCCCAAGGCCACAGCTGCAGTCTGTTCATTTTGCAGTGCTTAGCCCTCCAGGCCCAAGTCACAGCCCTCACAGAGCAAAATGAACAGCACATCAAGGAACAGGAGAAGAACAAGTCCCAGATGTCTGGGGTTGAAGCTGCTGCTGACCCCTCAGAGAAGGTGAGCTGGTATTTCAGAGAAGCAGCAGACTGTGTCATATTAAGGAATCAGATGTGCATAGCAGGCATTCAGAAAGCTTGTGGCCAACAAGTTATTTTGGTAGCTTTCTTCTAACTCTAGTGGTACACTACTTGTCTGATTTAAAAATTAACTCTTTAGAATTTACCATCCTGATGGCAAACTCTAAAGGCCTTGTCCTTTTGACACTTTGATGGCTATGGGAAGTGCCTCCAAATCACAGAAGAACAGAGGGTGGGAGTGTGCCCAGTAGCCATTAGCCACTCATATTTGCAGCCCATGGCATTTCTCAGTGGGGCTCAGGGTGGGAGAGAGGTATCAGTAAGTGTTCTTTAAACAGTCTCAGGCAGGCCATAGTTTGCCTGCCCTCGGTAGGGAACTCTCATGGCTGGTCCTTCTGTCAAAGTATGTTATTTGATAGTGTCCTCTCCTTGGCTGTAGCTCTCAAAGTCTCCATTCACGACCAGCTGTGTTCCTCTGTATTGTTCTAAGATGGCTTCATTTGAGCCTTCAAAACGCCTCTCTGGGATTCTAATGTATCTCTTAATGACTTGGTTTTGGCAGCACGTATGTTTGATTTCCAAACAGGTCAAGAAGATTATGAACCAGGTGTTCCAGTCATTGCGGGGTGAGTTTGAGCTGGAGGAATCTTACGATGGCAGGACCATTCTGGGGACCATCATGAATACAATCAAGGTACAGCCGTCCTGCTGGTGACTGTTCCATTGGAGTGGGGTTTTTGTTGATTAACTGCCTTCTATGAGATCATGACTAAAAATTCAGTCAAGATTGTTGACTAGGAATGAGGATGCCTGGAGCGATCGTGCCTGGATGGATGTGTCCAGCCCCTTCTGACTTAGAGAGGCAGAGTCATTTGAACTAGGTGACATCTGTGTTAATGAGGACTGAGGATGTGTAGTGCCTGCTATTTTCCTTTTAGTGACCATCTCCTCCCCTCGGGTTTTGAACAGATGGTGACTTTACAGCTGTTGAGCCAGCAGGAGCGAGAGAAGGGAGACAGCAGCAGTGAGGAAGATGAGCGGCCTCTTGGACCCTCCCAGGAGCGGTCAGCCCCAGCCACGTCTGGGCTGTGTTCCCCACCCGAGAGTACGGAGGGGCAGGAGGCCACCGTGGTGCTGTCGGAGCAGGGAGTAGAAGAGGTCACCCCATCGCCTCCACAGGCTCTCCGCACACCTGAGGACAGTGTAGAGAGAAGGAAAGGGGAGCCCGTTACAGAGGTGCTTTCAGAGATCGAAGATGGTTTCCTCCCACCCAAACCGGCCTGTACCCCAACTCACAGAGCTCTGGGACCCCCAACTTCGATTCCACCTAAGCCTCCAGGCCCTGTACCTATGAACTCTGAGTGTGAGGAGACACCTGTTGCTGGCCCAATGACAGCCAGGTCTGACAACATAGCAGGAAAGGTGCATGTTGGGACAGTTCCAGATGGCGCACCTCAAGAAACCTCCAGGAGACCATCACTGACTCTAGACCCAGAAAAGGGGGACCCACCAGCCTTAGGGCCTGAAAGCCCAGGAGAGCCCCAGCCTCCACAGCTCAATGATGATGAGGATGTCACCAGCTCTGCTGATCCCTTTGAGGAGCCACTAGGCTCTACAGCTGCAGGAACAGCCCTCAGACCCAACCATGGCTCTCAGCATTCCAGGTATGTTCCTCTGAGCACAGAGGAATGTGTCAGGGAATGGCTACAAATGGAGGTGGTGTCTGTTTTTTCCATGGCCGTCAACTCATTCCTCAGACATTGACTAGTTTGCTCATTCATTCATTCATTCATGTATTTATTCAACAACACTTAGCATGTACAGGGCTTGGTGGTGGGCACGAGGATAGTGTGTAGGCAAGGCAGATGTGGTTCATGAGTTCAAAAGCTTACAGTTTGGTTGGCAAAGACCAAGAGATATGTTTTTACATATTATAAAGGTAGGGTAACTGCTAAAAAAAAGAGAAAGAAACAGGGATTATAAGAAAGAATAAAGAGGGCATATTCTACATTACATACAGTGGTTAGGAAGGATTCTGAGAAGGTAACATTTAAACTGAGATCTTAAAATGGAAAGGAGCCATCCATATCAAGAGCAGGAAGGAGAGATTGCCAAGAGAGTCATATATGCCAAGGCCCTGTGGTGGGAGGGGACATGCCATAATCAAGGAAGTAAAAGAAGACACAGGAAGTAAGAGGTGATTGGTCTTAAACTGAGGTTGGAAAACTAAATAGGGGCCATACTTGAAATTTTATGTTATTGTTAAAAGTTTGGATTTTATGGAAATATAGTGAGAAACCATTAAAGTATTTAGGCAGAAGAGCGATGTGGTCTGATTTATTAGCTTTAGGAGTCCACTAGGGCTGAAGGCTACAGAGAGGCCACTACAGGCTATGGGAGGAGACACTGAAGTGGAGAAAGGAGGTGTTACTGAGTGATTCTCACCTTGTAGCCCGTGACCTTCATAGCTGGTGGGCACTATGGCCAGGAGCAGGAACAGCAACATCTTCTGTGATTTGATTTTCCTTTAGTGTCTCTGGGGATGAAGAGGATGAACTGTTTCAAGGGGCAACTCTGAAAGTTTCAAGGCCCAAAGTACAGCCAGAGGAGGAGGATGAAGATGAGGTGGTAAGGAAGTCCCAGGCCCTGCCAAGTCCTCACACCACCACCTGGGGGCCCTTCCCCACTGGCTCAGAGAAGAGAAATGGAGTTTGTTGGTGGCCCACTCCCTGGACACTGTGTGCAGGGCCCTGTGGGAGCAGGCTTGGGGTAGGGAGAGGGCAGCTTGGTAAGCACAGTGGGGACGGTCAGATACCCCTTTACTCTTGAGCGAGAACATAACTCTATCCACATGGGAATTAGTCCCCCTTGAAGTGAGGAAAGCTGAGCTGCTTAGTCCTGCACTGATGTGCTGAAACCTCAGGTTTCCCTACATCTGCTAGGATGTTATTTATGTTTTAGAACTTCGGGGGTGGGGGAACTTTGAAGATTATCTTTTTGGGCATCCTTATTCATAAACAAACTGGATTCAAAAGAATGACTTACCTAAAGCCACCAAAGCAGTTGATTTTAGAGAGAGGGCTCAATCCCCAGGCTCCGGGTAAGGCCACTTGTTTCTGAGCACCTTTGTTCACTGGCCTGCTTCCAGCCAGCTGCTCTGTTTTGTCATCACAACACTCCCGGGCAGCAGGTGGGCCAGTACTGACAACATGGCCTTGCTCTGTGGAGCGTGAGAATGAAGGGCGGCAGGGCAAACTGCTGACAGAGCACTATTGGAGCCCAGCTCCTGCATCTGCCGTTCCCTGTTTTGATAGGGTAAATGCTGCTGGTGCTCACTAGGCCATTTTGACTGCAGTGATGAGAATTTCACTGCCATGAAATGTGTATGGTGAACAGAGATGAGCTTCAGATTGAGTCCATGTTTCCAGGGACTGAAATACAGGTTGAATGGGGCAAGATTTATCCCCTCATGTATCATCCAGAGTGGGTTTTGCCTTTTGCCAAAAAGCAGTGACAGATCTGGGGTCCAGCTCATACATACCAGAGCACTTCCGTCTTGCCTGCCTGCCTTCAGGGGAAGTGCACTACTTCCTCCCAATAGGTTTTTCTGCCCAAGACTTAGATTCTCATCTGAGAATGCTGTATACAAATTCTGCACTAAAAAGAAAGAGGGAGGATAAAAGGGAAAAAATGCATATTCCAAGGGACTGTCCTAAATATAGTTGGAATTTTTAAATTAGTAGTATGTTATTGGTATTAATGCAAGTATCATCAAGTTAGCAGCTATTTCTTTTTATGCTGAACACTACTTCACTGTCTCATTTAATCCTCAACTAATGCAGTGAAGTAGGCATCTTATCCCATTTCTTCTAGATCAGAAGACTGAGGCTCAGGATTATTAAATAATATAGCTTATCTTATGTGGTCGGGAAATGTAGAATCAGAACCTTAGTCAGAAAAAAGCAGAAGTGGTGAGCTACATTTAAAAATCTTATACTGTCAGATTTTTTATAGCGATCACTCAGTTGATACTCAGAGAAAAGCACAAGGTCTGTTGGTAGCTGGACAGTGGACTAGCCCAGAGGCCTCTGCACACCACGCTGCCTCTGTGGCTTCTGTGAAGAGATCCTAGTCAGCTCACAGAGCAGAAAGGACATTGGTGGAGACAATTCAATTTATGTCTGTCTCTAACATCAATCCCTGCGGCCCCCATGGGACCTGCCTGCTAACCCAGAGGAAAAAGGTCAGGAGCCCAAGTCATGAAAAGGGGGGAGAGTCCCCCCTCCATGGCCTTTTGTGATACCATAGCCGAAGGCCTAGGTAATCAGCTTATAAAAAGAAAAGGTTTATTTTAGCTCACAGTTTCAGAAGTTTTAGTTCATGACCAATTGGCCCATTGCTTTTGGACCTGTAGTGAGGCAGCACCTCATAGCAGGAGTATGTGGAAGAACAAAACCATTCACTCATGGTCAGGAAGTGAGAGAGAGGAGGAAGGAGGGGATGGGTCCCACCATGCCCTTCAGGGGGGCACACTTCCAGTCACCCAAGTCCTCTTGTTAGACCCTGTGTCTTAAAGTTTCCACACTCCAAATAGCACCAAGCTGAGGACTAAGCTTTTAACACACGGGCCTTTGGAGGACATGTAAGATCAAGCTAGCCACCTTAATTTCCTGTATCCCTTACCTGGTCAGTGGGATGAGGGAGAATAGGGTTGTGGGAAGCTGGATCCTGTGTTTCTGGGCTTTCTTCATCTCTTGGGAATGTAGCCAAGCATCTAAATTAAACTAATTTCATTTTCAAAGGATAAGGTCACATCCAGAACCAGTCTGGCTACCTTAAGTCACAACAACTTTGTTTTCCAGTGTGACCTTTCGTCATCTTCCTGAATCTTCTCTCCTCCATCAGGCTGCTCTGCTTCTGTTTCTTTCTCCCACTTCCATCTTCCTCTGTGACCCTTTTTTCTTCACACAAAATGTATAAGTTACCACATGAGAGAAAAATCTGTCAAATCATATGCTTCCCAAATAAATGACAGAATTAGCCAAATACAGTTGGTCTTTTTGTCTCTGTTAGAAGCCGGCTTCCCTCTCTACCTGCTTGTCTCAGCTTTACCTGGAAGTCAGGGTTCACTGGCCACAGGCCTCTTTCCATCACACCTCCTTACCAATCCGGAGCTGGGGACAGACGCTGGACCACTTCACCTCACAGGTGGGAGGTCCAGTGGGGTAGGGACAAGTGAGGACTGACTACTCTTTCCTGTTTTGTCAGAGCATGAAGGGACGCCCACCCCCAACACCCCTTTTTGGAGATGACGGTGATGATGATGACAATGACTGGCTGGGATGAAGACCCAGGAAGCTGGCGCACAGGTTTCTCCTCCAGCCCCTCCCTAAGCATGATTTTGCACAGCCAGCCCTGGGTCTAGGCAAACCACAGGGTGAGGTCAAGGTGAGCATTCTGAGGACAGTAGTTCAGATGTCGGAGTTAGCTGGCTACCTTCTGAGCCCCACACCTGACCTGGCAAAGAGGATTGTGACCCTGTTTTCAGAACTGGTATTTTGAGCAGCCCACTGTGGTCCTGCCTTCAAGTCCCAGTTGGAAGAAGGATTGAGAGGCTCCAGCTCGTCACCTACAACAGTCCTGCCCTCTTCCAAGCTTTCTCTTCTCTTCAGTCACTCTCAGACTAATCCAAGAACCCCTTCCATCTATCTCCCAGGGCTCAACTGTGCCCCAGCAACAAGATCTATCACCTGGGGAGAGGTCTCCGTGGAAAACTAAGAGGAGATCACACCATCTTGATCCCAGTTCAGTTAGCAGTCTGGCCTGTGGTCCAAGGACATGTTATCTTTTATCTCTGCCTTAATCTTATACAAGAGGTCAATGAATATTTGAAATTAACCAAACTAAAATAAATATCTCTAAAGAATCTTGACTTGGGCCCTTGGGGAGAAACTGAGTGTGGCTCTAAGGGATTTCTTGTGGTGCTGTCTGGAAATCTTAGGAGCTGTGACTGGGTCAATGTGCACAAAGCACTGTGGCATATTCCCTGTGGCACCTAACCCTAGAACTTTTAGGCCTTCAAAGAAAAGCACCACTCTGCTGTCCAGCTGCGTGAGGCTCGGGGCATTGTGGTTTGCTGAGGACTAGCCTGTTGCTTATTCCTGCAGGCTCAGTCCTACAGCCTCGGAAGCCATGCAGAAGGTGGGAGGACCCTTCATTTTCAACGTCCATGGCACCTGAGGGATTCTTCACTTTAAGAGCAGCTTCTTTTCCTTTGAACTCAGAGGACCAGGACTAGTGTAGAAAAGAGTAATTAGAAAATCTTTATAGTCGTTATATTTATTCTGGGATCTTCCAAAGTCTTCAAGAAGTATAATAATTTTAAGAAAGAAGTTCTCTGATTTTAAGTGTTTATGAGATAGGAATCTGAACTCTAACTCTGGGTCATCTGCCATGTGGGGGCCTGGGAGGCAGCAATAAAGACCAAGTATTTTGTTACTTAACAGGTGTCCCTGGGTGGGGGAGCAACTGACACAGATGGTCTTATATCCAGCAACCATTGTAGAGATGCTGTTATCCCCATTTTCTACAGGAGAAAATGGAGGATTTGGGAGGTAAAGTAACTTGTCCAAATGCACAGGTAGTGATCTGCAGAACAAGAATTCAAATCCTGGCTGTCTGATTTGAGAGCCTGGGCTCTGCGCCACCACCCTTGCCTGATAGTCACTGGATTGAGAGGAAGGAGCCAGTGATGCCTGTTAGAAATCCATGTCCTGGGCCCCACCCCAGATCTCCTAAGACAGAATTCCCATCCTGTTATGTTAAAATACAAAAGAGTATAGAGTCTTCACAGTCTGAATGTATTTTCTTGTCCCATGAGTTCTGCGTGCCTTGGCCAAGTTACTCCTACCCTTTTGGCTTCAGCCCCCTCAGCTGAACTGAAGAAACAAACTCAGAATCTAAGTCCTGGCTCTGCCACTTTTAAGCTGGATGCCTTTCTGTTTCTGCTTCCCTGTCTCTAAGATGAAGACAGAAGTAGTCTCTACCTTGCTGTGAGAATTAAATGAGCTAATATTTGTATAAAGTGCTTAAAACATTGCCAGGCACATAATAAGCACTTATGTAGGTGTTTGTTAAACTATTTAAACTGTAAATAGGGACTCTTGTCACCTTTTGTGACTTGGCTCTAAAGGCTGTTGACATGAGAACAACGGATTATCTGTTGAATCACTCTGAAGAGCAAAGATTAGGAAAATTTTAAAAGTTCTCTCTGCTAGAAAATCCTAAAATGAATCACCACGTTTAAAACAACTATCCAATGAGGAGTTTGCTGATCACCCATGAAGTTCAGATTCCTATCTCATAAACATTTAAAATCAGAGAACATTCTTTCCAGGGGAGGGAGCCTTAGAGGGTCAGGACCTAATGATGGATGGAGAAGGCTCCATTGGCATTGCAGGGGACATTCAAAATCATATATCTTTGAGGCCCTGGGCAGCTTCCAGTTCCTTGCATGCACGAGGAGAAGCCACCAAGAAACCCTAGATGTGGCACATAATTTCTGACAATTATTTCTTATTGTAAGTTAAAAGTGGTCATTATATTTTTGCTTCTGCCCTCAGAGAGAAAAGGTGCTATTAATCTTCATAGTGTTTACAGTCTGGGTGACAGTTACTTTTTTTATAGCAGGTACCTGATTCATGTCTGTCACATGAACAAATGAATGTTGACCAAGTTGACATTCTGGGTGCCTACCTGTGGGCACAGTGTTTCAGGGCTCATTTTCTTAAGCAGAGTTGTCTTCTTCAGTCCTCAGTCAGTCATACGGGTGCACCTCCAGCTCCATGCCCCCTCCCTCTGCACATGCCCCCTCCCCCTTGTTGTCACAAGGGGTATGTGTGCTTACTGCTGGACTGAGGACAGAGTCACTGACTGTTTAAAAATATGTATTTATTAAAATGTAATTGTTTTTAATTCCCAAAGCTTAAGACATCTTTTCATCTAGCCTGTGAGGTACTTGAACATGGGTATTATAGTCCACAGCAGCGATTTTCTCTCCCTGTAAAGTGATAAAAAGATTTTCTTTTCTGTAAAGTGAAGAGGTTAAAATATCCAGAGTTTGTCTAACTAAAAATGCACTGGCTTTGGTTTGACTGCTCCCTGCATCCAGTCGATGTCCCCTTAGGCTTAACCTGTATTTTCAGTGACTGAATTGTGTTTCCCCACAGGTCTCTATGAGTGGGCAGTAAGTGATAAAAGAGGATCCAGATTAAAAGGTGGGGGCATTGAGGTCATGAGGCGCTCCCAGACACCTTGGCCATTAGATCACCCTCCCCTATGGGCAGTGCCGTCGGGTGGAAGGAGCTCAGTCCATCCAGAGGACAAACCAGCCGCCTTTAATCAGTTGTCACTTATTTTCTCCCCAAGAAAGGGAGGCAGGTCTCAGCGGTTGCTGCCTTACATCATGAATAAGATGAAATAATTTCTTTGAAAAACTGTTTTGTATGAATGTGCAAAAGTGCTAATCAGGAGATCAGTGGGAAAAATTTAAAAGTCTTAGTCTATTCTATGGATCATGTGGACAAACTATGTGTTCCAAAGGCACGAAGGTCAGAAAAAGGAGCTATTTTGGTCTCTGTCCCCCAAAGACAGAAGTCCAGAAAGATGCTCCTGTCGATAAGGCACAAAGCAGAGAGAGGGTTTCCAGGTTCTGTGGCCTTCCTTACCCAGATCCCACCTCCCTGTCCTGAAGATCTTTGGAAATTCTTATTCCTGCGTCACAGGGATGTGTCTAGGCTCAGCAACCCTGTCCCCAGGCTGTAGTCTTTGCTTTCTTTCTCCATTGGTCTCAGCAGCCTTCTTAAGGCACCAGAGTAGGCCCAGCCCTGTGCAGGCTGGCCGAGGAGAGGGTGACTTCAGTGGCCTCTGAACTCCAGGGAACAAGTGCTGGCTTCAGCTCCAATTTGCCAGGAGCTGAAAAGGAGGTGAGGAATGGCCACCAGGAGAAAAATCCACTGAAGTACAATGCCTGGAAGAAGGTGCCCAGCTCCCTCCAGCTCTGAGTGCCTGCAAATCCTTCACCAGCTAAACCAGGCGGAGAAGTGGGTAGGCTAGGTAGTAGCCCACAGCCGAGCCCAGGACCACACCGAGGAAAATCCAGATGTTGTAGGACATTACAGCCAGCATCATGAAGTAGCCAATGACCACTTGAATGACATGGACTAGAGACTGGCCAAAGTGACACAAAAACCACCTAGATAAAAAAGAGAACCAAGGTAATGCTGGTAATGAGCTAGAGGCAGAAAGTGGATATCAGGAAGTAGAAAGCATTTGAGCTACAGTAAATGCTTAACCAGGAGGAAGTACTCCCCCGCCCCCATTACTGCACTTTGAACCCAGGGGGCACTTAACCACTTAGCTACATCCCCAGCCTTTTTTAAAATTTCAAGACAGGGTCCCACTAAGTTGCCAGGATGGCCTTGAACTTGTGATTCTCCTGCCTCAACCTTCCAAATAGCTGGGAAACTGGGATCACAGGCATGTGCCACCATTCCTTGAAAGAGATTGCTTTTTAAAAAGACATCTCCACAATTAGATCTCAGATTCCTGGCATTCTAGGCAAATGGGAAAACGATGGTATATGTCATCCATCTTACCTGATAAGGGACAAGAAAAAATCATCATTAAGGCAGATCCCCCCCCCCCCAACCTACTGTGGGAGGCAGGATGACAATGGAAAGGGCAGGGACTCTTCCATGTACTAATTCTGGCCTAGGACAAATGTATGAAGCTCTCTGAAGCTCCATCAGTAAAACAGGAGTAAGAAATCCCTTGCAGGGTGGTTGTGAAGATTTGAGACACCCAGGTAAAGTGGCTGGGTATGCAGCAGGYTTATTAAGCACAATTAAGCTGGAGTGAGGACAGACTGGGGATACTAAGTGAACCAATCAGGATGGGAAAGGAGGAAAGAAGCAGCTGCCTCCCCCACCAAGTGGGCCACATTGCTGACCCAATTCTTACCATTTGCTTCAGGACAGCTACAGATCCCCTCCTAGGTTTGGAAGCCTAGTGAGATTTGGGGGAAGATTGGGTGGCCACCCATGTTGCTAGATACGGGCCTGCACTGGAGTTCTGAAGATCACAAGTCCCTGCAGTAATCTGAGCCTCCTAAGTGGCTATCAATAGAGCTTTGGCTCAGGCATCTGGACACCTGAGTGTTATGTTAGTTCACCTTTCTAACTGTCACCACTCTGGCAAGTCCTGGTCCTTCCCTGGGCCTGGAGTTCCCTTCTGCACACTGGGGCTGATGATCTCTTGCCCAGCCTTCCTCTCAGGGTGAGCGTGAGGACTCTGCCCATTCCCCATGCCCAGTGCCTGTACCTGAGGTTGGTGCTGCTGACTGGGGATGAGTCTGAGCCTGCGCCTGCAGAATCCTGGTCTGTCTCCAAGATGAGCTGCTGGCTGGTGGCAGTGGGCAGGTTCATTAGAGTGTGGTGGAGCAGCTTGGCTTTGCCAACTTTGATGCCTTCATACAGCACAGCCAGGAGCAGGACCACCAGCACAGAAAGGGCCATGCCTGTCAAAAGAGGCTGAGTTGAGAAGTAGGTCCTAGATTGCATGATCACTAAGGCGACTGTGGATACTGATAATGTATGTCACATTTCAAAAAAAGCTAGAAGAAAGGATTTTAAAGTCTTCACCACAAAGAAATTATAAATATTTCGGTAAATACATTTACCCTGATTGAACATCACACAATGTACACGTGCTTGGGAACATCACATGGCACCTCCAAAAATATGTATAATTTTGGGGAAAAGTAAGGAAAAAAGGAAGGAAGGAGGGAGGGGCCAAGTGGCAGGGATCATCCAGCCCTCCCAGCAGTCTGCACGATCGCTGTCATGTCATGGGTGTATACAGCAAGGGCCTATTTATGTGAAAGTACACCAAAAAAAGCTGGAAGGAAGGATGCAGCAAAGGGGTCATAGTTATCTGAGCACATCAGGATGTGGGTGAGTTTCTATTTTCTTTCTGCCTCATTCTCTAACATTTCTTCTGTTAGTGTGTGTTTACTTCTATAGTGGGGGAAAAACTCTTCAAGTTATTTTACAGAAAAGTAAGTCCTAAGGCTGCTGTGTAAAATTAACTGCCAGTGCTACTTATTTTTTTAAGTGAAAAGATAATAAATGGTCCACCTTAAAGTATTGTATGAGACTCTGTGACATAAAAAATATAAATTTGGTCTCGCCCTGGTTTGCTGGTCTGCTTCTAAAACCCTTGGAGCCTTGCTAGTGTTGTCTTTTTGTGTGCTATTAAGATGACGGGTGGCTAGTGCTCCTGGATAGCCAGCCTTGGTTTGGGGCTGGTTGCCAGGGCAACTGACCTATGATTACAGGGTAGGAACTTTCAGTTCTATACCCCACCCAACCTCTGGGGACAGCAGGGGGATTAAAGGTTGAGTTGATCATCAGTGGTCAATGACTTAATCCATCGTGCCTACAGAGACTATTTCCTTGAGCTCTGTGAGCCATTCTAGCAAATAAACCAAGGAGGGGCTCATGGGAACCCTAATTCTATAGCCAACTGGAAATCTTAGGACTTGTGGCCTGTGTCGGAGTGGGGCAGTTTCATGGGACTGCTCTTACCCTGTGGGGTCTGTGCTAACTCCAGTTCATATGAGAATTGAATGGAAGGTATCTCAGCTGGGATCAGAAAATTCGGCCTGTGTGTGGAAAACCTACTTTCTGGTCATGGAACTGTCTTGAGTTTAAGAAAAGGAACAGAAGTAGTTTTTTTTTTTTTTTCCTTCAGAGGAAATCACCTGCACAAGAAATAGACTTTTCAAATATAAAAGTAAAAGTAATGCATACATGTGTTAAAAAGCTATACAGTACAAAAGGGCATATAATGAAAAGTCAGTCTCCTTCCCAGCCCGGTCTCTAGGAACCTGATCCTCCTCCCCAGTGCAGCCTCGGTTACTCAGTGTACAGGCCTCCACTTGTCTAAATGACAGCTTCCTCTCTGCAAACTCTCCAGCACCCAACTTCATATGTGGGTTCCCCTTAGTTCACCCAGATCTGCCTTCCTGGTGGCTCCACAGTATCTGTGATATTGTATTGTCCAAAGACAGCCACTATTACCCCACCCACATGTTCTTCTTACAGTGTCAACACTCCTGCCATCAAGTGGTGCAGGTTGTGTTCCCTCCCCTTTGACCCAGGAAGATCTTTGTGACTGCTTCAACCAATAACGTGAAAGTAATGCTGTGACTTCCAAGGCTAGGGCTTAAAAATCTCATGCTCCTCTCCCTTGCTCTTTTGGAACACTCATTCTTAGAATCCAGCCACCCTGCCACAAGGAAGCCAAGAGCCCCAGATCAACCTGCATCGACCATTAGACAGGAGAGTGCGAGTCCTCAAGAAAACTGCTGCAGCCACCATCCAACTATACCGCATGCACGAGTGCCCTTGAATGAGGACACTTAGCTGAGCCCAGTGAACTCAGAACCTTGAGAGAGAATAATAAAATGACTATTGTTCTAATCCACAGCCTAGCAACAGTTAACTGGAATGGCAATCCACTGTAGAGATGACTATGATTTATTTGATCCACACCTGCAATGATGGGCATTGTGGCTAGTTCTAGTCTGCTTTTTAATATTATTTATTTATTTATTAAACTTTTTTAGTTGTAGATGGGACACAATACCCTTTGTTTTATTTATTTATTTATTTATTTATTTATTTATTTATTTATTTATTTTTGTGGTGCTGAGGATCAAACCCAGTGCCTCACACGTGCTAGGCGAGCACTCTGACACTACAACCACAGCCCTCAAACTCTACCCTTTCAAGTCAAAGGAATACTCTTCCTTTTCAGAGTGGGGTCTCATCTGAGGTTCAAGGCTGCAGCTGCCACTTTGGACTTCTGAACCAGTGCTAGGTAATGAACCTGGATGAGGGAGGTGCCAGGAAGCGACAGGAGGCCTTGATCTAGTTCTGGCTCCGATGCTTACTGACTGTGTACCCTCCCATGTCCCCTCTCTGGGCTTCAGTTCCTTTCCCTGTGGTAGAGGGAGAAGCTGCCTCCCCTAGCTCTTGTGAGGATCAGTGAGATAATAAAGCCCTCTGCGCTCAGAAGAGAGGTGGCTGCACATGAAATCATAAATGCAGAGTTCTTGCTCAATGTTTATGCCTGAGGAGTCAGGCTCACCTAAATGCCCACAGAGAAGAGAATCCAGGTTCTCCTCTGCCTCTGTCAGAACACTTCCAGCTGCAAGTCTAAGCATGCCAGTTCTTACCTGCAGGGCTGTGGACACTCCAGAAATCAAATAGAAGCACAGCCTCGTCTGAGAAGATGAAATGCATCTGAAAGAGCAGGGAATCTGCATCACAGGGGGCTCAGGACACTGGAAGCCCTGGCTCCTAAAGCTTTTCAACATCCTCTTCTGGAGGCCCAGAAAGATAGGAACATGGGACTTAACATATTGAAAGGGTCTTTAGAGGTCAGCATGGCCAACTGAGGCCATATGGAGCAGGGGCTGGCCCACTCTGGTCAGCAGTGGAGCTGTAACTGAGCTGGTTTTGTCCCACATGGAAGGAAAG